TAACCCCCCCGCCCCCCCCAGCTCACCGCACCAAGGGGGGGGCCACCCTTTGCTTACCTCTATCCCCGTTGTTCCGTTCGGGCTGCACCGGGCGCGGCCTCGACACTCGCCTGGGTCTCCTGTTGGTGGCTCTGACGGAGTTCATCTGGGGAGTTGGTTGTTGGAAAAAAAAAAAATAGGTTCGCTATCCTCGACCACCCCGCTTTGCTAAATTTAGCCCCCACGACCCGAGCTTACCAACCCGGACAGTCGCTATTTTTTCCCCCCCGCTACAACCCAAAACAACTGCGACCAAAAACCCGCTGGTATTTTGGGGGGTGTAATCGCTTTTTTAGCCTCTCCTCCCTTGGTTGTTACAGCTCTTCCCCCCCCCTGTATCGCTGCTCGGCTGCCAGCTTCGTCTCAGACTGGAGCAGGAGGAGCCATTAAACCCACACGGGAAACAATCGCGAGAAAAAAAGAAAGCGCAAGAGCATTCTGTAGACCAATTACAATAGACGTTTTATACGCTGTTCCTTGCAGCGACCAATCAGGAGCTCCGTTTCAAGGACTACTTGATAAACCTTTCTGTTGGGGTTCGGGATCGGTCAAGCGGAGATTTGATCAGTGATCAATGCATGGGCACACCACTGGACTCAATAGCTAATTAAAATACTGCAAATGCTGTCGTTTATAGTCTACGTTAAGAGCATTTCACAACAGTGTATCATATTTACACAGGGTCGTTTTAACCCTTTAGAAATGTCAAAGAGCACAACCTTGGATTTGCCTGATTGTCTGCCTTTGTAATTGAAAATATAGGCCTATGTTATGGAAACAGCAGTTATGGACTTTTTATATATATATTTAACTGGCATTGGAGTGACAGATGTTTTAAAGAGCATATTTTCTCTGCATATGGAGGGCCAAACTTAAGTAACATGATGGAAATGTGACAGCAGAAGACGCATGAACTGAGATGCTGCATGAGACTTGATGGTAATGTTAATGGTAGAGCAAAAAATAAATGTTCAATTTCTAGATAAAATCTAATTATAACTTAGAGACTGAATAATGGAAGTAGCCTGTGTATTTTTTTTTAATGTTTAGTTTTCATGTAAATACAACATTAGGCCTATTGTGTAATTAATAATGGATTTTTAAAATCAATAAGTGAAGAAATTATTTAGGCCTTTTAAACGCTGACAATAGGCTATTACTATTGAGCTGGAATTAACCTACAAGCAGTTGCACTCACATGCTGGTATGAACTAATATGTAATCTTTATTACAATGATATGTTATTAATTTTTTATTGTATATGTCAATAGAAACTAAGTGTTAAGTGAGTATTAAATCATAGATTAAGAATGAAGTTTCCTCCGGGAGATAGGCCTTCACGTTTTGTTAATTAGTATCATTTTATACAATTAGACCACCAGAGGGCATCATTGGGCTATAAAACGATAAAGCTCGGGATCTCAAACTAGAAAATGACTCTAAGCCTAGTTTTGCTGAAATGTTTTATGTAGGATTTAAATGTCGTCTCCTTTTTTTTTTCCCACACGGTGTCTAAAGATTTAAGATTTATTCCCACACATTTCAACACCCAATAAAACAATGATGAATGTGAGTAATCTGTGCACAGAAGTTTGAGGACAATTATGCCCACATTACATTGATTTCTTTAGTGCATGAATAAATAATAGTAAACTTGATCTTCTCAGGTTTTGTCTGGGAAATAATACAGTAAATGCAGGAAATAGCTCAATGTCTCGTGATGATGTGGCCTTTAGTTAGAAGAAGGGAGGGACATATGTGGATTTCCTACCTAAATATTAAAGTAGTTAACGTCAAGTATCCCATGAGGAGACACAACAGCAGCATAACTTGGGAAAGATGTTTATATTAATGGCTTCTTCTCTTGCCGTAGACCAAAATGTGTCCCAGTACTCCACTGCGCTCAGTCTGTGGACTTTAATGAACTTCAGCGCTTCATGTGAGCAGATGAGGAGAGGGAGTTTTTCTGGAAGCTTTTTTTCATACATTGAGCTGCAAAGAAACATCTCACTGAGACCAAATAAAGTCAGAACTTAATAACAAATATAACATTTGTGTTGCATGTCATCTTTGATGCAACTATTATGTCTTTTTTAAATGATAGTGCACGTTAGCAAAGACTGGTGGTTTACACAGACACATGTTATTGTTCAGTTGAATCTACTTTAATGCATGTTTTTGTGTCTAAATGTCTTTAAATATTTTTATTTATGTAATGTTATAATAAATAAATAGATAATTATTATTAATTAATAATTCTTTTGTCACAGATTGGGATTTCAATCTGAGTTTATGCATTCTGAGTTTTCCACTTTACTTTGACAATTAGTATTCATTGGGTCTAATTTTACATCTATGTTGTGTATTCCTGTGTAATCTTTATTTTTATCTTAATTTTTCAATTCTTTCTGACTTCATGTGACTATATGAGCTTGTGCATATATTATTTATCGTTGTAAAGCACTAAAAGCTGTATTTCTTACACTTTTTGTTTACTATTCTAGTTTGTCTTTTTGCATATTCAAAGTGTCTGCAGAGAGGCCGATTTTACGAATTAGCCAGAGAGAATTCAAAAACAATCATGCAGTAGGAGCACCCCCTGCTGGTAAAAGACTACACTGCATGCACAGGATCAGTGTTGGCATGTAGGAGGCAGTGTATCCATATCAATGAGCTGGACTCAGATTCCTTTTTGCAGCTGCAGCCTTGAAACCCTGGGTTCCTTGCCTCTCAGTGTGTGTGAGCCTTATCAAGCTGTCGTGTCCATCCTCCTGTAATAAGCAGAAGGAGCAGCTGTGTAGTCTGCCCCTCAGTCACGCACCCAGCCCACCCTTGCACCTCGAGCAGAGGTTGGTGGGGTCACTTTGTCCTTGAAAGCTTTTGGCTGCTGCGAAGGACAGCAGACTCTCTAGATAAAGACAGCAAGTTAGAGCATGTGTGTTTTTCCTTTATTTCTTTACAAAGCACTCTCTCCTTCAGTTTAAAAACTTTATATAAGCATACACATATAATTATGATCATTTAAAAAACAACAAGAAATACAACATTCGCCCGTAAAAAAACACTTAAAAATGGCACATGATACTAATTTATAAACTATTAAAAAAAATGAAATCACAGATAATTACACACAATACATTGAAAAAGTGAGAAACTGAAGGTTAGGAGACATGCTGGAGGCTTGTAGAGCTACAGCAGACAGAGTGTATGAGTAGATTATTAATGAGTGAGTCCCTGTGGTGTGCTTCCTAATGAATATCATTCAATCATGATGTTGAATGTTAAAAGGATGTTGATTTCTTGACGTGAACATGTGCGGTATCCCAAGAGTCCAACCTTTATGAAACTCTTTGAAAGTACTTCGCATTATCTTGAGACAGCAGATGGAGGCATTTGCAGAAGACGTCCCCTGAAAGTGAAGTCATTATACCTCGTCTTCTACTTTCATTTATCCTCTAAATTGTCATTATGCAGTAAACTCCACCCATGTTGCGCTCAAGGAATAATCTAGGACAGACATCTGACCTAGATTTGGTAAAAGTAGCTATCTTTACATGGATTTGTACACATGCTATAAATACAATGAAGTTTACACGTCGGTATTTTTTGGCAGATCAGAGGTACAGGCAACTTATAAGAGATACATGAAAACCAACTACACTGAATGTGAATAGCCATACAAAAGATACGTTGGTTTAATATTTGAATATATAGCAGCAGAGGTGGGGGGCTTTTTATGCCTTTATTTAACAGGACAGTGGATAGTGTAGAAAATCAGGGAGAGAGAGTGAGTGAGTGGGGAATGACATGCAGGAATAGAGCCACAGGTTGAACACAAAGCTGGGCACAACACTTGAATAATTATAGCCTCCATACATAGGATGCGACCTAACCGCTAGGCCATCCTGCGCTCCCTCGTTTCGGTACTTTAATAAAGTTTCAATGTCGTATAAAACAGAAAAACACAAAGCCACTCTCTTGTTAAATAATTAAAATGCCTTTATTTTCATGGCATGGTCATGTAGATATTAAAATTAACTGATGCTTTTTGGCATCAAGCCTTCATCAGCAAATCAGTAAAAGGGCTTTCACATGCAGAAAGCTCCTGAAAAACTTTGGATATTTCCCGGACGAGCTGTATGTGTATGTATATTCCAGATGAAGGCTTGATGCTGAAATGCGTTATGGTTTGTTTTATTTTCTACATCATCATGCTATGAAAATAAAGGCATTTTTAATTGTTTAATAAAGTTTTTCTTGTTTCATAAGATTGTATAGTATCCCTGTCTCAAGAGCTCCTCACACACACTCCTTTGGGTTCAAGAAGCTCTCAGAAAAAAATGTGTTTATACTGAACCACAATATTTGTTTTCTGGCAAATTTGTACTGAAGCCAAACATTACACACATCTCCCTTAATGGATGAGAGAGTAACACTGGGAAAATAAAAAATAAACACTGGGAAAAAAGACATAGCATAACAAGATGAAAACTTGACTTTGGTAAAGAGGTGTGATGACTGGATGTGATGACTGTGACTAACAGTGAGGTCTCACACTAACATTAGGGGATATGGACAACGTGGCAGCAACGCAAAGCACGGAGACATTCCCCATCCGATTCATTTACACGTTGAAGCAAAGCAATGTTCATGACGTTCAGTAGTTTCTTCATTCATTTGACGTTAGAATGCTTTACGTTAAATAGTCTCCAAAATATGATGTGAGATTCACACAGAAACAGCCGGTTGAAATGTCCTTATAGGAGCCTTAATAACACTGTAGTTGTGTCGGTCGTCCTTAACCAGAAGGTTGGGGATTCGATCCCCAGCTCCTGCAGCCACATGTCCGATGTGTCCTTGGGCAAGACTCTTAACTCCAAGTTGCTCCTTCTGCTTCGGCGTGTGTGAATGAGATTAGTTACTTCTGATGGTCACTTTAAACAGCAGCCTCTGCCATCAGTGTGACTGTGTAGGTGTGACCTGCGGTGTAACAGCACTTTGAGCAGTCAGAAGACTAGAAAAGCACTATACAGGCTCCAGTCCATTTATAGTTTAGAAGTTAAATAGATACTTCTGAAGTATCTGTAGGTCACTTCAACTTTTGCTGTCATGCACTCAACTCTGTTAATATCTCGTTCAGCTCTCAGAGAAACTGTCTGTATTTGCCATGCCAGGCTGTAGTTTTTTTTTTTATTATCACTGATTAAGTTAGTATTCTTGTTTTCAATCTTGACTCAGCGTCTGGGCCAAGGAGCACAGCATCACATGGCTGCTCTTTGGAGAAGTCCAGGCCGGCTGCTGACACGAAGAACTCTCCGTCCTGTAAATCTGCGCTCGCGTCTTAAACAAGCCGAACCGAGCAGCAAGGAGAAAGAAATCCCGTCTGAATGTGCGGGTGAAGAAGGCGTAGAGGAAGGGGTTGGAGCAGGAGTTTATGGGGTAGAAGAGCACCAGCAGGAGTTTGGAATTGGAGACGGTGATGAGAGGGAGCTTGAGAGCGGCCGAGAGGGCGAAGAAGGAGATGGGAGCCATGCAGATGAAGTCGGTGAAGATGAGGACGGCCATGCGTTGGGCAACGCGGGTGTCTGCATGGGCGGGGCTGACGAAGGGTTTCGGACGGTCAGGTAGATGCTGAGGTAACAGACGCACACACAGAGGAACGCCAGGATGTTGAGAAGGAGCAGAAACACCACGTAGATCTGAGACTTCACAGACTCCACGTCCATGGGCAGGCAGATACTCACCTGCACCCCAAAAAACAAATACAGAAAAAGTTGTTCATATTACAGTGTGTACATCTTCCTACAACAGTACAGAACGTAGGCAAAAACTTACAGATATAAATTGATAACATGTAACAATGAACAACGTGGGAAGAATGACAAACTTTAGATAATTATGTCAGAAATGTATCAGGTATTTTCTAAAATAAACATAGTACAACACACAGAATTAACTGACATTTTCGGGCAAAATTTGAAGGACAAATAGTCAGCTGTCAAAGATATTTAGAAATAATGGATAACTCAAAGATGGGATGACTTACGCAAATACAAAAGGGGTATTTAAATCATATGGAGGATGAGTTCATGCTCCATTTTGCATCCCAAATGATGTGAACAAATCCTGAATAAAGCTGCTGTCAAGAACTAAAATGCACGGAGGAGATGCATTGAGGATGTGAGGTTAAGACAAAGCGCTCATCTTATCAAAGCAAACTTTACATGCAATTTGTGGGTAAGCATAATTTTCACAGATTTTTGAAGCAAATCAAGAATATTGCACTCATTTAGAGGAATATGAAGTTCATGCACCATTTTGCATCCCCAATGACTTTGACCTGAGCAGATTATGAAAGATATTAATAGCGGTTAATTGCTGTCACAAACTTGAAAGCGAAGACGCAGTACATAGAGTATGTCTGTTAGAGGCAGCCACCTTGCCATAGCTGCTGACTCCGACTGTGGGCAGAAAGGCAGCAAGCGAGGAGAAGATCCATCCTGCTGTCATGACAATACACGCGTGCCTCAGACGAAGTTTACGGTCGAGCCGCAGAGCGTGTGTGATGGTGTGCCAGCGTTCCAGGGTGATCGCTGTTAATGTAAACACTGACAGTTCACTGGCAAACACCTGAAGTTGACACACAAACACACATATTTCTATTCAAACATATTAACAAGTCTTGTTGTTTATGTATCAACATGGGCATTACATTTGTATGCAAAAGACTCTCTGGATGCACACAAACACACACACACACACACACACACACACACACACACACACACACACACACACACACCGTGAAGAAGCCCGCTGCACTGCAGCCCAGACCCATCTGCCAGTCTATGGCGTGGTTGTAGTATTGGCCACGTGTGAGCATGTCTACAGTTGCTATGACGACCAGGTAGATGCCCATGCAGAGGTCAGAGAAAGCAAGGTGGCACATGAGGAAACGGGGGACGGTCAATTTGGAGCGGCTGCCTGACAAAAAATAAAGTGAGAGGTAGCTGCAGGTTTAACAGATCCTCTCACAATGTAATGTTCATATAGATTAAAAATATAATGTGCTTAGCTGCACTGTTTATTATTTATTTAACAATTTTAACCTTTGTAATATTAAAGAAAACTAAAAAAAGGGAATCGATTTTCCCGTTACATACCTAACAAGACCACGAGTACCGCTGCGTTCCCCAACAGGGCCAGGATGGAGATGATCCAGATGAGGACCCGTAGCGGGGTGGTGGACATGATGTCCTCACAGGGGTTAAAGGCATCGGGGGCTGGGGTGCAGGTGATGGAGGTGACGTTGGAGCAGTGGGCTCTGTAGAATTGAATGTTATCTGGGGCCTCAGGGTGGGTACACAGGGAGCTCCAGTTTGACCTACTGAAAAAAAATGCATCATCCGAGGTGTAATAGTAATCCACAGGTTTTGTACTATTCCCAATTTTGACACTTTGATTTGCTTATTACAAGACACCATTACAATCGAGGCCCTGTGATCCACATTTTAATTTAAATGGTAATCATTAATTGAGTCATAAAAGATAAGAAAATAAGATATTTGTATCATTTGATTTAATCAGATATTTGAAGATAAGATAAGATATACTTTATTATCCCCTAAGGGAAATGTTTCTTGGACGCTGTCCTACAAATATGACTAAACAGTTAGGAAGGAAAATGTATTCATTTACTCAAGTAGATGTTCTAAAACGGGGGGTTGCTTTATGTCCTGTTCCTACTCTTGAGAAAGGTTTGATTAAAAACATTATCATTCTGCACAACTAGAAAAAAATAATCTTCAGGGTGTTTTTTATTTTATTTTTTCATTGAAATGAATCACACTTGTCTTGAAGCGTGTTTAGCCATAGACAGAGCAGCTATTGTAAAAAAAAAAAAAAAAAAAAAAATGCTGAGGTAAAATTTGTTGTGTCATGTGGAAAGTTTGCTTTTAGGGAGACGAGCCTGGTAATGGCTGAAAGGTTGAAATCACAAAAATAACCACGCAGGACTGCGTCAGCTCTTTGTCAAAAAGTGACATAGCTCAGAGTCTGTGTTAGAGAGATAATAAAAAACTGCAACACACATAGTAGAATGCAGGCCTTTATGCTCAGACGACATCATGGATTTAGATTATCTTGAACAGAGTGATAAGTTGTTTACCTTTGTTTTCAGTCTTTATTCTAAGCTAAACGAACTGTACAATAAATACATTTAGTCTACAAACATAGTGTCATGACAAAGTAAATATAACTTTTAGCAAGAAAGACATATTCCAAAAACGTTTGTCTATCTAGGACTTTATTTGTTATGTTGACGAACACTTGACTTTTTGTATAATTAGAAACTGTTTCTAATTTTCTTTTGTTAAATATTTAAACTCACCGTTTGCTTGCACCTTCTTGCAAAACTTCACATTTCCTTTTTTTTTCATCTATTGTACATATTTCTTATCAGACTATTTTTTACATTTCTATTTTATTTTTCGTTTATACTATTTACAGTAAGTTCCTTGACAGTAGGAGTGCAGTGTTTTACTGTCTTTCTACTTTATATTCTATTTTTATTTGAACTGTTTTTGTGCCAAAACCACAAAAAAACAAATTCCACATATGTGTGTAAACCTTCTGAGCAATGATTCTGGTCGGTAATGAAAAGACGCTCAACCATGTTGGATAGTGCATGCGTACCGTTTTCTGTGCACGTTCTTGAAGGCGCAGCAGTGCGATGAGTACGTCAGGTTGGCCTGGTAGAGTTTGGTAAAAAGATGCAGAGGAGGAAGCTCTTTCAGATTAATGGCGGACTTTGCAAACAGCTTCTCGAGACCAGCGAGGATGGAGTCTGGCAGGGAGCTGAGTGCTGTGTGGGAAATGTCCCTGCAAGTACAGACAAGCTGATAACATAACCATGACTTTAATTTCAGAAATGCTATTTTCAGCTTTTCTTTTTATTGCTTTGAAAACATAGGCGACTGTCCTTTAATAAGATTACAAAAGCTGTCATCAAATATCTAAGGGACAAAAAGTGTGTCAGCAAAATGTCCAGTTTTTCTTTGATGAAGTCAAATTTGGACAGAAAAGGATATTGGGAAGAGCTCCTGTTTGATTGCCAACAGGAAACATTTATTTATTTATGTTTGACTGCAACTTCAATTAAAAACGCGTCTCTTTGTTCTGAGAATTAACGGGACAAATCCCTGTTTGAATGACTTCACCTGCTCTCGGTTTATTTTTACCTTAAATCTGGCATGCTTCTACATTTTTTTGAGCCTCCCCACACACGCCACATTGTTTCATGTTTTCTCCTACATGCTGACTTTAGTAATGATGAGGGTGAATCATGTAGGCATGAGTTACTGTTGGATGACATGCTTACAGTACCACCAACTCACTGGAACCCACAAAGGCATTGGGATTGATGTGAGTAAGCTGTTCATTGCCTTTCAGACACCTGAAATAAAGAGACAAAAAAATGAGCTTCTTATTTTTGAAGCTTCTGTTTGTAATTTTGTCCCCGCCTGTGACTCACAATCTGTGCATCTTTGTGCCGTTGAAGGCGTCACTTGCCACCTCCTTGATACCATTTCGAGTGAGCCGTCTGTCATTGGAAAGGGAAGCCAAATTTCAGTCACATGGACCAAACACAGAACAATCCCTTCAGAAAATATATCCAAAAAAAAATACAAGCTAATTTGAATGTGTTTTTAATAAGTTTTTAACATGATGTAAGACGTCTTCATCTCTATCTTGATGTTTCACTGGAAAGGCTTCTTTTAACTTGGAAGTAGGCTAACTGCATTCAATTTCAAATGACTCGATTATAAGAAATAGCCCACCGAAGTAGTGTTCATTTGAAATACATCATCATAACAGCTCTTTTACCCGTCTGTTCAACATAAACCTAGAGGAAGAGCTAGCTGGTTTAGCCTAGCTTAAGTACTGTAAACAGAGGAAAAGCAGCAAGCCTGCCTCTGTCAAAGAGAATAAGCGTCATTGGCAATATGCTTTCTGTCTAAAAGTAATATGAGAAGATTGATACAACTCTTATCTCACTCTCTCTACCTGTCTGTTAAATCTAAACATGAACACCGCCAGGCTAGCTTAGCTCAAATACTGGAAACATAACCAGAGGAAAACAACTAGCCCGTCCCTGCCGAGGGTCATAACAATTAACTTACTGATAATAACGCTGTTGTAAAATACATTTTCTTGCTGATACAAATATCATAAGATTGATATAAAATCTGTCTGGTAAGTATAAACCTGGCAGCAGCTAGCTAGCTTAGCATTGCCCTAATAACGGTAACAGAGAGAAGCAGCCTTTCCTTAAAGAATCAAATATTTATTCGTTTATCTATCTGTGAGGAGGGTCAGATGCCGTCCCCAAAAAACGATTAAAGGTGTTAAATAATTTAAATTGTTTAATTTACCCATTATTGTAAAAATGTTTACAAAAAAGCAGTTCATTTTCAAACTCAACCATATCATTGGGTGAAATTAAAATGAATTTAATGTTTAAAAAGCACGTAAAATGTACGTTTGTACACGACGGCAACAGTGTAGGTGTGTGCTCATACAGACATGTGTCTACTTATTCCGTTTTGTTTGTCCACTCAGTGCTAAAGTCTGAAATGGCGAGCTGAAAAGTTTGGGAAGCTTTGCATTACAGGACTCATCGTGGATGAGAGGCAAAAGAGTGGCAATGGAAAAAATAAACGCACGCTGTAGTCGTAAGAGGGCTAGAAATGCAGAAAACAAGGAGACAGTGAGGGGATGGGATCATTTATCACTGTGCATGCAATGCCCACTCGGAGCTGTGTGAGGGTGGTGTTTCTAAAAAAAAAAACGATGAATCCCTTACATCTCGCTGATAGTTTGAGTGCAGAGGCCTCTGAAGGTATTGGCGGGGACTTTCTCTATGTGACTGTTCTCTTGCAGGTCCCTTAGCAGCACATGGATTAAAAAAAAACACAAGATTTCCAAGAGGTAAATACTTTTTTAAAGTAGAAAAAAAATCAATAAAAATACCCTTAAGGTGCAGAAATAAATGGTTTGTATTTCTTATTTTCTGCTCCCTCGGTGCATAGATTTGAAATGGTGTGTTATATGTGTAATAGTGGGCATATTGAAGAGTATCTGAGCATGCTTTAGTGCTTCATTTGAATTAAGCATTGAGACTTACAACACAAATCTGGTGGCCGTGGACTGGATCTGACGGAAATTTGGAAAAACTCTCAGTCCGGTGTTGGAGATGGTCCTGTGATGTGCAAAAAGAATCACCAAATGTTACTATATTCACACTGCCACCTCTGAACAACACGTAGTCGATGCAATGAGTCACAGTTATAAAATCGGACAATGTAGCATTCACTGTATTTGCAGAGTTACATTTTAACAAGTGAAGATATTCCAAGATAATTCAGTGAGAAGCTCGGGTGGCAGAGAGACAAATCAGATATCTAAGAGCATCTTGTCCCAAAATACTGTCAGAATTCTGCATTAACACTAAACAAGTTCAAACTCTACTGTCTTTGAAATGTTTGATAATCTGTAAAACATTGACGCTTCAGATCTTGGACAAAACTGGTTTTTAATTCAGGAAACTTCTTACAAAACAAGACAAATATGACTGTAGAGCCAGGTGTACGGGAACATTTGGTATTAATGAAGCAGGGATGTATAAGGTACTTGTCAATATTTAGTATATTAGCCACAGGAGATGTGGGTCAGCATGGCCCCTTCAAGAAGAGACCAGTCAGAGTGCTGCTAGGCTACATGGCTATGTATAGAGGGCTGTTTGCACCACACAATTTAACTAATTTAAGAAAGTCTTCATTGTTGAGTCTGAAGTTTTTCCTCTGGGTACTCAAGTCAATAAAAGAATCCTCTTGTATCCAAAGTAAACAGAACGTCATATTCCTTTTAAAATCCTTTTTTTTTTTTTTTAGCTCGGTTGTATTAGTTGTCTCTTTTGAAGCCTGTAGAACCAAACAGCTGATCAGTGCGCTTCAGGTGGAGGAACCATTATTATCTACAGTCTATGGGGGGAACGTGTATCTCACATTTGACATTTGAAAATCAAGTTTAAGAAATTTTGTTGGTGTTTTATTGTTAACATTTCATTTGACAAAAATCTCAAATAAATGATGAATCTTAATAGAATATAATATAATTTTTTCCAGATAAGATGCAAAAGTTTATTAACTTATTTTGATCACCATACGTGGTTCTATTTCTGTTGTCCTTTGTAAACAGTGACTAAAGGTACTATTCCAAATGATGAAAACAAGTCCTGTCTTTGAAACAAATATTTTCTACATGAAAAACTCACTTGACAGAAGTGTGACACACTCTTCCAGGGGATCCAAGCTAATAAAAAAATCATGACTTTGGCCGTGTGGGGGCCTGTCAGAAGTAGGCCTGTCACCCACGACCCACTTTTGGACTCACAATCAGTTTGAAAAACGCAAATTGAAGTTTTCTTCACTCACTAACTACTCACATATACTGTAGTTTCATGATGTGTCTGAAAGCATCTGAATCGATACGTCTCAGGTGTTTTGACTTTGTGATGGTTCTGAAAGAAACGCGCGGTTATGTTCATATTAGTACAAATGACTGGTCTTACGATCACAGACTTTCAGCACTGCAATTACGCTGCCAGTTATACTCACATTTCAGAGAGTTCAGGGAGATTAGAGAAAGCAAAAGCCTCGATGCTCTCTAATGCAACATTTTCAGATATGTAGCTAGAGGAAACACAAACAACACATGATACATTTTCAGATAAAACAGCACTTATTGTTGGGCATATTTTGTCTTCAGCAGCCTACAAAGTTAACTCCTCATCTGTGTGGATGAAGAGCTTTCTCAGAGTCTGCAGCTCTCCTAGTTCCATAACAAAGACTGAACACACAACTAGGTTGGGCTTAATGGGTCATGAGCGGTCGCTTTTTTAGAGATATGCGTACTCACATATGAGTGAGGCGTGGGAGGCCAGCGAAGGCAAACGCACCGATTCTCTCCAGCAGGTTGTTCTCTGTTATGGTGCTGAAGAAGGAAGAGGATGACATCATGGGAAAATTAAAGGACGCCAAGGATTGTTAAATATGATATATATGTTTCATACGTGTTAACTGAAGAAAAAACAATATCAGAAGACTTGGGTCTTCTTGTATACTCTTTAAATGAAGCGTCAATGATGCAATGTATGAAAAAAACTGAGGGTTTATCATGAAGAACAATTTGAAAAAAAAAAAAACAAGTGGTCAAAACTTTAATTTATGTTCCCCAATCCTGAGTCAGTGGTCTCTGAAGTTTTGCTTTCTTTTTACGAAAATGAGATCTACATTTTCTAAGATTTTTTGTAAGAGATTTAAAAGAAAGGAAACATTATATCAACTCTCATGAACTTTAATTATGGAGATTTAGCTGAAGATCATAATTTAGAAAACAGTTAGATTAGCTTTTTGTGGATTTGGGATTCCAGACGCTTTAATCTGTAGCATTAAATTTCTATTTTTTAAGAAGAAACTTTGACGGTTAGTTCTGACCTGCGGCCCTTCTCTGCACCGCTTCTCTGTTTGGATTATCCATATGTGGAGTGTTTTGACCTCCTCAGATCATTATGTTCCTCATTAAAGAATAAACATGAAGCATGGACACACATACTTACAGTTTCTCGAGGTGCTGCAGGCTGCTAAGAGCACCCTGGGGAATCAGTCGGATCTGCGTCTGCTTAACTTTCCTGTTGCAAAAAACAGAGACATTAAACACGGAAAGCGTTTAGCAATGAGGAACCAACGTAATCGTAAGGGGAATGATTTTCCGTATGAGAACGGCAGATCATTTAACATCAAGCTGTTGTGGATCAAATCCGGGATGGCCATCCAATTCTGCATACTTGTATTCATCCCAACATTTCCTCAGCCTTGACCTTCTCCAGGCAGAACAGAACAGACGAGAACACACACATCGTCGCCTGGGATTTCACTGTACGTCTCTTGGGAATTTTCCCCCTGTCCTGCCACAAAGTAGTTCACATGTACTCATGTTGTATTTGTCTTTGCATGCTTTGTGAGAAATAATATGTACATCAGGACTTTGCTCGTGTGTGTACGTCTGAGTCCGTGGTTGCGCAGACGCTTTAGGCGGTCCTCATTCTGTCCTCCCTCTTTCTGACCTTGAGATTCTTCCAAAACTTTCACCGGCCAAAACAACAGGTCAGTGTTTTCTCCGTGTGGCAATGACCCTCACTTGCCTCTTCCAACTCGATTTTTCTTGTGTCGTAAACATTTTATCAACTTACCACTTCACACCTTAGGAACTAAAGCGAAGTATCTCAACCTCTTAAAAGACAAATGAACATATTCCTCTGACACTTAAAGTTTCAAGTTTGACTCCCAAATCTTGGCCTGTGCTGCTTAAACTTTAAACCTGGTCCTAAATAAAGAGGATGTGAAATGACATCATACTCTAAATCCCACATTAAGTATCAGTTATAAGTGGGGCGCCAGTAGAATAGGGGTTAGTGCACGCGCTCCATTTATGGAGGCAAGTCCTCCATAAACGGCGGATGGCACCAATGAATCAGGTTCTGCTCGACTTTTCTGCCAGATTAAAGGACAGTTTCTGTTCCTTCTGTTGCCAAGTGTTTGCTCATAAGTGGATTCATGTTGGGGTCTCTGTAAATAATATTACAAACAGGCCAGACCGGCTTTCTAGTGAAGAGATAGTGTCATGAGTTATATTTTGGTTTTGTCTTATATAAATGAAAAATGTTTGTTTTGTTAGTCCGGCATAAAAAAATCACTTTCCAACAGTAAACTCGGGATTTTCAGATATCAGCTGCCACCACAAATAAGTGCCAAGATCTGATCAAATGTAAACAACTAAATATAGGTGAATAAAAAGGCAGCAATACGACTGCAGTAATAATAAAAAAAAATAACGAACACAAATATGTGCAATCTATGAAACTCCCCTAAAGAAGGATGAGCTGCTGTATCTAAAAATTAAAATGTTTATATAATTGACTTTAAAACCATGTTTTTAGGCTTTTGTGACACCCGTGTGATACCTGTTCAATTGTTTTTTTTTGAAGATCAAGGTATGAATAAAGAAAAGAAACCATGAGACAGAAAGAGCTACCTCCGCAGAAAGAAGCTGGCAAAGCTTTATGTCAGCAGATTAATTCATAAAAAAGGAGAGATAATGTAAAAGAATTGGTCTGAGTAAGCAGTTTTGTTTCTTAACATTTTTCAGTACAAAAGACTTCAAAAAAACTTCTGTTAAATTGTCAACCAGAAAATGAATTATTTAAAGCTGAGGTTCATTAATATTACCTGAGAGACTATAAAACTCCAGAAGCCCTAAATAGACGTGCATTTTTTACATTTCATTTTCTCCATTTTCACACGATAACGAGTCGTTTTCTGATGTTTTCACAAGGTCTCGACTTATTTCACTTGTATTCCCGGGTTATGAAAGTTGGTTTTCCCCACTGTAACAGACTGATGTATCCCCAAGAGATAACACAGCTTGCTTTCTTGAGAAAACAGAGTCATTTTTTATCTAGTAAACAAAACAATCGGCTGGCCACAAGGTAACATGCTACCATCACCCACACTAATGAGGTAAGTTAAAACCCTATTTCTGTTGGTTTGGTGCTTTTTCAACTTTAGAGATACAAGAAAAATAAGTTGATACTGTATCTTGAGAAAACAATTTGAAATTATTCGTAGGGGGAGTAAATAAAATGTTTGGATGCATGGCTTCCTGGGGCCTCCGTACAAAATTACTTGATCTTGCATTCTCATAAACGGTTTCTCAGCGATGTGGGGAATAAAAATCTGCAGAAACAAAATATCTTATCCCGAAACATTTCTGCAGATCTCAGAGTGCGCATCCACTTGTTTGTGTTTGTACTCACAGGCATTGCGTGTCGCTGGAGATATTGGAGGGAATCTCTGTGACCTCGATGCTCAGCGGATACCAGATGCATTGGGTTCGTTTGGCCCGGACGGTCTCATCTTCATGTTTTATGTCCATCTCAGAAGAAGGCGCAGACGCTGCTGTCATCTCCACCATCGCAAACACCACCATCATCAGAATCACCACCACCATCTTTTCTGTCTCAACACAGCCCAGACACAAATCTTCTATTTTTCTTCTTTTGTTTCCTATCACTCTGAGCTTGTTTCCCAAGTGGTGTTTATATGCATGCAGGCCTTCCTCAAGTGCCAACACTTGACATTTAATATGTTTTTGTTTTTTTCTGTCCGTCTATCTGCGCTGGGTTCACCTCCAGGTCGAAGAGAGAAGTGTGAGGTGCTTTAGTGCTTCCTGACATGTGGTGGTGAACGATGGGGGCGTGTAAAACGCTCTATGGGTGTATGAAGATGTAGGAGGTCTCTCAGGGGGATGTGTGTGTTAAATGGGTGTGTAAAAATAACCACAGAAGGACATAGATCTTGAATTCCTGACTAAAATACTAGAGTCTGCCTGAAAAATCAGTTTCCAATTTGTTTTTGTTCTACACTTTGGCCCCTGATGTCTTTCTTTTAAATCAGTTACCACCTTCCACCTATTATCTGTAGTTTGTATTCCATAAACGTAGTAAACATATTTAGTTAATTTGCTTGAGAGGAGTTGTAGGTTTATGAGCACGGTAAAATATTAGATTAAATAAGACCTGTATGGTGGCTGGGATATAGAGGACGCTATAGGTGCCACACAACCACTCCCCACAAGGAGAATGTGTTATGACCAGCCTGTTACAACATTTAAATACACTTTTGACTCAAAGTCACAACTATTTTTTTTGTAGCTATATAAGTTATGCATGCATGTAGCCTACAATTTTAAAGGACAATGTAAATATGGAATTATTGGGTTAAATGTGTAATCTGCAATAAAAACGTATAGGTTATAAGGTAACTGGTCTTGGAGTGGAAAAATGATGGCTTGAATATATTTTACAGACTGCTGAAGATAAAGAATATTGAGCTTTCTCTTTCTTTTAAAATCCCTTCATAACAATAGCATCTTTTATTAAACTGAGTTTACTACTTTCTTGATAACCTTTTTTTAAAAACATTTCCCAATCATTTGGATCTTTTTTCTTTCTTTTATATTATGCGATTGTTTTGCTGCCAAGGACATTGGGAGTAAAAAAACAAAACAAAACAGATAGCCTGGTAGGAGTTCCTTTTTTTCCAGGCTGATAATCTTCTTTTAAGCTTCAGACACGAGTAATTATGAGGGAAAGGGGTGAATATGTTTTGTCTTCCGAATCACATTTCTGTTGAAATTTCTACTCCACTCCCCACATCTGCCAGCGCGCAAGGACGCTCTCTCTGCATTCACAGTAACATGGCTACAACCGCACACCAGACACACACTTGTGTAACAATCTTAATTCACCTTAGCTTCTCCTCTGTACACATACAGCATAACAGCTTTTTTCTTGTATTGACACATAGGTGTGTGTGTGTTGTAATGTGGGGATTGGACTCAAATCAGAGCTCTTTATGATTATTCCAAAGCCGAAGTAAAAATGCAGCCTTGAGCTCCTGACATGACTACACAACACTCTCACACTCTCACAGTCACACACCACCCAACAGCTTTGCTTGTACTCAAGGCAAGAAAGATGAAACAGAAGGGGAAGGACAGGGAGTGAGACAGAATACAGGTGTAGAAAGGAGTGGAAATGAAGGACCTGGGAAGAAGAAGATCGATGGCTTCTGTGTGCACCTGTGTGTGCTGGTGCATGACGTGAATTATAGATTATATTAGAAGAGATTAAACTAATCTTCTGGTTGTTCTGCAGCTGTGCAAGGGAGGTGTGATACGAAAAATGTTAAGAATTTTTCAACTCAGCAGAATGAGACACTGGCCTTGCTCAGCAAGCCGATAAATACACAAAATGAAAAAGTCAATAAACCCTTTCCCTGTGGATGTTTTTGGCTTTTGAGAGTAAAACGCAGGTGTATCATTAAGGATGGATGCACTCAATTTTGGTGGCGAAGTTACAGAGACCAGCTATTTTGCATTATCAGTCACTGCTTTGTGGCTGTAGCCCACTGTGAGGAGTTTTTAAACACAGGTTATGTAACAGTCTCAATTTAATACTGATGTCAAGGTAACAACAATGCAAAATCGTACTCTTCTTGCACCCACAGGCACATGCATAACTTTCAAGGGACAGTCATGTGCATTTGTCAACACCAAAAAAACAAAAGGCTGGAGGTCTTTGCGAACCACAACAAAATAAGCAAAAATGCACGATAGAGTATTTAAGACTCAGTATTTCCAGGCTAAATTTGCTCCCCTTAAATTGAAATAAAACCCTACTGTTGATGTAAAAAGTTAAGTGATTTATTCTTCTAGCAGTTGGGATCATAGGTTGGGATTCATGAATAATTACATGCTAAGTGCAGTTTTGGTTCATGTTGCATAATGAGCAGCCTTATGGGGCTTATGGCTCAGGGTTTTTTTTCTGTACACCAGAAACTTGGAGGTCTGTGTTTGCACAGGACAATGAATTGGCCATAAAGTTGAGTTGCTTTCAGTTTACTCTAAAAATACAACTCGGCTGTGTCTTTATCTCTGTGCGAGCTGGCTGTGGTCAAGGACAGCACAGTGGCAGATGGCTACAGCCTTACACAAGCCTTTTGTTGAGCACAGACTGTTCAGCAAAAGACAGAAAGAGAAGAAAAAAAATGAGAAGCAGTGAGAAAACAGGACAGTGAGACTTGTGGGGGTGTTTATTGAAACAGCAGGTCCTTGTAGCTCCTCTCACCTGGGGACGCAAACTCGACTCTGTGGTCTCGGGGTTCTTTCATCCGGCAAACAACAACTCTGCAGAGACTTATATTTCGCTCACTGCACTGAGTCATACTTCAAAGCTCTGCTCGGTTTGCATGAGGGGGTATTTATGTGTGTATACTGTCCCAGTTAGACACAGTGGGACTTGAAAAAGAAGAAAAAGGTGCTGCTTTCCTTTCGTTGATGAAGAAAAAGGTGAAGGGAAGAGAAGAAAAGTGGAGAAATCTGCTGTTTGTAGATTGTTTGAAAGCAGAAGGGCTCATATGCTTTCTGACAGACAGTTAGATGAGGAGATCAACCCCACTTTCATGAATATGTTTATTAATTCAGGAAAACCAAAGCTGGTTAGGTTAATACAGCTTAGCGTACTGGAAATAAGTGTATAGAGTAAGGTAGACTCTGTCCAAATTAGGCTTATTTTCATAGCAGTCTTATTTGAATTGGTCACAGAAAGCTAAAAAAAAAATGGATTTCATTTGTGCAAGAAACTTTTTCCTTCTATTGTGCAGTTATGTGTAAAAGATCAAACATTCAACAGCCGGGATTGTTCTTTAGCTGATGTGTAAAGAGTCGCTCCATTAGCAGCAACACAAGCTTCAGGCACAGACATAGACAGTGAATGGCCATCTATTCATTTTCTGTGTTCGGACCTCAGGAGACAAAGAAAACCACAAAATCTTATAGTTTATCATACCAAATGTGACAACCAAATGGGTAATTCTATACCTTTGAGAATGAATACCTGCTCCTGACACATTTTCAATGGCTGCTGAAGAAAAAAAACTCAAAGTATTATTTTTAAGTGAAGTTGAATATTAGTAAAACTACTATTTTCCTTTCAAATGTGCCATTTGTCTGGACTTTTTCTTGATCCTGTGAGGTTGCCAGACAACCAGTGAAGACTAAATTAGTGGTCCCAATCAGAAAAAAAAACGGCTACAGAATTATCAGATTAAACATGAAGAGATAGTGTTTACATTTGTGAGCTTTTGACTTGGTGCTTCATTTTTGAGCAAGGCCAGGCTTCCTGTTTTAGTCATTATTCTAAGCTAAGGTAACCGTCCATTGGTTATCAATCATGAAAAGATTTTGATTGTAATCTCACTTTTTTCGTTCAGATCTACTTTGCTATTAGTAAAAAAGGATTGTATATTTCAGGCAGATGGAAGCAAAAAACCAATTCACACGAATGCACTCCTGGGTCACTTGGGTAATATTTTATTTACTCGTTAATCTTCAAAACTATTTTTCATAATAAATTTCCACTTTATGTTCATCAAAGAACCGTAACAATAAAAATAAAAGTAAATACTGTAGAAAAATTGTACATATAGAAAATAAACATGGTTAATGAACACCTAGATGTAGAATCCCATTGGTTGAGACACCTCCTTTTGTTTCAGATGGCAACACAACAGAGATAGAGGAAAAAGAAAGTGACAAACATAGAGGAAGTCGAGGGCAGAGAGGGAAACTTACCAAAAACAAAGGGAAAACAAGAGAAGGAGGTCAAAAAGGCCAGTTAAGGATGGAGGGAGTAAGGGAATATTTTTAGTTGATTTTGACATTGTTCTTTGAAATCTTACACAGTCCTCTTCTTATCCTTTTTCGCCCTGGTCGTTTTGCATGCATCTGACTGGTTGGAAGAACTGGAGGAGCTTGTTCGTGTCATGGCACTGTTTGTATCGATATATCATGGAGCTACAATTCATGAGATGCATTGGGCTCAAACAATGTCAATAAAGAGATAATGTAGCCCACCAGAATCCCATCAGTCTCGGTCTCGCCATGAGTAAAGACAAACCAGCCAACTTATAGCATGAAGACAAAAGGACGCAAAAAGAAAGAGAGAAAAGGGAGAGCCAATGAAATCAAAGCAACTCATTTAGCCAATGGCATCATGATCTGGACTTTTCTACATATTAGCAACACATGGTAACATTTACTTTGTTTTCTTTTCTTTTCCTCGGCTGGTTTTTGCTATAAAAGGTGGTTGGTAAGAGCAGGTATAGTGGGCGTGGCCTATTAGACATCAGGCCAGAAAACAGGTCTTGGCCTGTGGTGGGCACAGCTACCCCATTTCTTCTTCTCCTCCCACAAACAAACCTACCATCTCTGGACGTTGTGGGACACGCCACCACTTCACAGCACAGCTCGGACTCAGGCATGCAGCACACTCGAGATGGTCACACTTTGTCAATGACAATTTGAACTGAATCCCACACGCTGAAAACCATTTGAAATGTGTTATTTAGGAATACTTCAAGCCAAGGTGGTAGATTGATGATGGCCGTGTGTCATGGTGTAACCTCTGGAGTTTCAATGCGGTATAAATCACACGGAGTAAGATAATTCACGTGCAATAAGACCCCCCCTCCCTTCCCCAAAGAGTCTATACTGCCCAAAATGTTCTTCATATTCATCAGTATCGTTGCCATAACAATTATCATAATGGTTGTTGTCATTTTCACCATTGTCTTTTTGTATAGTCTCCAGTTTTTTGAAGATATGGTGGGTCTTTAGCATTGCAGGTATGTGTATGTCTGCATGTGTAAGTAGTTTAATGTCTGTGTGCTGTTTGTGTGTGTTTGTGTGTGGACACCGTTGGTGTCTGTAGGTAGCATCTGAAGTCTCAAGTATCCTGTCCAGGAAAATAGCTCGCAGTTTTTCCACTGATTCCACCTTTTTTGATTTACAGGGTGCCGTAAAACACGAGCTCTGCAGCGTAAAAACAACCACCGGCCATCTGTTACATTAACAGCACCATCCCTGCCTCTGCCACTCGTAATTCATTGTCTCTATTGCGACACCCTGATTTCCTGTCCTGATGCTGCTCGAGGTTGGACTTGGACTGTTGGTGTGCTTGTTCCTCAGTGCTCCGTCTGCTAACAGGGAAGAATGCCGAGAAGCTTGGAAGAGACACTTGGTGCTTTTTCTTGGTGCTTGTACATCATCTTTGTTCATTCTGCCTTGTGCTTCACTTAAAGGCTTCCTCGACCTCTCTGAGTCCGACAGGAGAGGTCGTACTGTGGCAGGGGAGTGACTGGACTTTAAATCTGGCTGGCACCAAAATTCAGTTCTTTACTGGGAGTTAAACTTGTCCTTTTTTAAAATCATCTGGAATGGTGTTTGTTCATAAAATGAGCTTCTCTCACAGGCTCTTCATTGGTAAATACTGTACAATAAGGGTCCGTGCCCTCGGGCCAGTCTGTGTGTGCTTATGTGTGTGTGTGTGTGTGTGTGTGTGTGTGTGTGTGTGTGTGTGTGTGTGAATGTGTTTATGTTTGTGCTTGGCAGCATGTGTGCATGTGTGATTATTGGAGAGTAAACATTAACATCAGCATGTCTATGTCAGTGTGTATGTGTGTATGAGAATATATCTATTTATGTACATATACCATTATATATAAAGGTGTATGCGTATATGTCTGTATGTCTCGTGCCTCAGACGTAGTACTCCTTGTCTTTGTTTTTCTTGTTCTTGGAGATCTTGGCGATGCCCAGCGGCTTGTCCTTAGTGCTGCCATTTGGCTGCGTGGCTGAGTTGCTAATGTAATTGCGGCTCTCGTCCACGTGGTATGAACCCTCGTCTCGGTTGCGGTACTTGTACATGGCGTAGAGGAGAATGAGGATGCAGAGGGCGGCGGCTGCCACGATGCCCACCACCATGCCCGTTGTGCTGCTGCTCTCCCGCACAATCTCAGACGGAACTGGGAACACCTTCACCTCTGGCAAGGGGGGGCGGGCTGAAAGGGGATGAGGAGGGGAGGAATGTGATGTTACATTACAGTTTAGTGCATACATTAATAATTTGTATTGCACGTCAAGGTGATGAGTGGAGAGCTGGAGCAAGAAGACACAATGCATCATCTTAATGAATTATTTGACGTGCATTTTGCATAATTCTACTCGCTGGCATAGAGAGGCTGCAGCTCAGAGCCAAAGCTGTTCCCGTATTATCACATAATGTGTAAACAGATTACATTACACCATGTTGAGAGGAGGGCCGGAGCACAGGTGCACATTATATCAATTTTTACTAGAAGCACTTGACACTTTGTCACATAAACAGGCACAGTGGGCTGCAGGGCAGTGATATATGACACCATATTGAATGATGGTTGGTAAAATAATTTGCATGTGAATTCTGCAATGGATTAGATGGTGATAACTGGGGATAAGGGGAAAGATACTGATTTAGAACAAGAAAAGGATTTAAAAAAAGCTGATTAAATAGGTTTGGAAGGAGGAGGGGCCTAGTAAGGGATGGAGGGGAGAGGTGAAGCAGAGTAAGGAGATGAAGACTTGGGAATAATGGAGAGAGTTAGGTAATGTCTGGAGGCAGAAACCTAAGTGGAAATGAAAAATTCATCGTAGTGAGCAACAAAACCAGGGGGAAAAACTGAGTGGCCGTCAGTGCTTGAGGACATGTGGGGAAAAACAACACAAAATGCAGTGGGTTTAGTCTCACCTGAACTGGGGTCACAGGGTTCAATGTCTTCATCATCACTGGGACACTCAGCTGACGCCACCAGAAGATCGTCTGCTGACTACAGAAAAAGGAATCAGAAGACATTAACATTAACATACAGAAGCTCATTATCTAGAGCTCACTCCCTTTCTGTTTATTCTCTACATGTGTGAGCACACAGCACCAATCCATCGCCCACCTGTTTCCCAGTTTTCCACAAACACTTTCAAATGTTACGGCCCCCAGCAATGGCAGGCGGCCAAAACTGGGAGGATAAGAAGAAGAAAGGCGGAGGGAGGAGAGAAACACAGAATCCTGCTTGAATCCACAAGGGGAAAGACGGTTATCGTCTCCTGCTCTCTTGGCCCTCCCCCCTCTGTTTTCTCCTCCGGCCTCTCTTTCTGCTCTCACAATCTGAAATTGGCTTGTGCTCGTATGTGTTGGAAAATGTGCAGACTGGGATAAAGCCACTTTATTCTAAATGAAATATTCCACTTTACACTCGATGATTCATTTAAATCTCTTTTATTCAACACCTCTCCAGAAGCAGCATGTCAACAACCCACTTAGATGTACCCCCTCACCTACATCGAGCAAATACAGTCTCAACAAGCTGCTCTTCCTGTGTGCTTCGCTCCCTCTCTGTGGAAAAGGAGCCCCTTTTCCACTCTCCATCCCTGCTCCTCCTGTTGCCATGGCAACTCTTAAGTTCAGGCTGTTAAAAATGATGGGGAATAAAAAAAAAAAAATCTCCCTCAGTGGGGACCTGTGCATTGATTTGCCATTCCAGCAAGAGTGTGAGCAAAAGAGAGGGGGGGAAGATACAGATTTTATGGGTGGATACAATTTAAGGAGAAAGAGAGAGAAAAGAAGAGGGGGATGAGCTGAGGAAAAGGAGGAAGACTTCAAAGTGCTGCGGTCTGTACTTAACATGGTGCTAATGTGCGCCGCATATTCATGAACTACTGTTAAACATTGCCCGCCTTGACGCTTCGGCATGAGAAATATGAACGTGTGCAAGTGTGTGTATGTGTGTGATTGAACCACACTGGGTGCTCGGTGCCAGCCCTAAATTAAAATTGGATTGTGATGCATTGCAGTGGATGTTAGTAACCCACAGAATAAAAGAAAGAGGAGAGAGCAGCAGAGCTATAAAAGAGAGAAGAGCTCTAGAGGCAGATTACAAGCAGACCAGAACAGAATCTGAACCAAATCAAAGCACTAAGTGGTCGATGATGTCTTAGCAGCGAGCTACAGGCAGGATTTCAAACAGAAGCTCATTAAGCCTCTCCTCTGTCCTTGGTATCTCTATTTCTTTGCCTGCTTGTCTTTGTGGATTACATAAGGTTAGAGAAGCAGGCACTTAGTTTATTCATCTGAAAAAGCCCGCACTGGCCTTGGTTTGGTGTGGTCCTGGTCCTGACAAGTCTGCTGTGGTTTAGTTTGGCCTGGAAGCATACATTAGGGTTATTGATGCTTGACTCTGTCTCTTTCCTCCACTGCCTTTCCAATCAGTTCTGCTCACTGGGCTGTCAAATGCTGCTAGGCTGAGCTTAGCCTCTGGAATCCAGCCACTCAATAAGCCTCACTGCCTCTGCCAGGATCCAAATAGCACAAGAACCAATCAGCCGCTGGGAAACACATCAACCCCGACTGTCAGCGATCAATGTCGAGCCACCATGCTTGGTTATCGATCCAAAAACACCTGTGACCTCAACGGGAACCTGTTCTGAATCATGATATCAGATTCAACAAAGCAAGACAAGAAAATGACCAAAGCCCCTCCTCTGATCTGTTACATCCCTGCCTCGTTCAATTGGGGAGGTGTCAATTGGATTATTGATCCCCCTCTCACGAGAGACAATGAGCACGAGGAAAATAGAGGCATGCCTGGCACAAACAGAAGTTTGTGGAAGATAAAGCAGAGACGCGCCTCTTTCTTTATCCTCATTGGTCCTTCCCTCTCTGTCCCAATCTTTTTGTGTTTTATCAATAAGGCATGCTGACTTAATGACGGACACAGATACACAAATATAGGAGGCAAAAAGGACATACAAGAGAGAGCACCAAGAAAAAAGATTTCTGCATGCTTAAAGAGCAAAATCTCTACCTGAGCAGCGGAACAGTGCCAACGACCGTCAATGCCTCCCTGACTTCCTAGTTCACACATGGTGGCTGCACTCAGTCCTCACACTTTCTTGCAGAAGATTCAACAGCTTGTCTGGTACTTTCACAACTGGATATCAAACACACATTGCACACACAAACTATAATAGCCAGACGTGCTCCACTGGTCTGTTTCTATTTAAACCCATCTACACAGACACGCAAGCAGACACAGAATCAGGCTGAAGTTGGCAGGCTGATGAATAGATCCTGAAGAGAGAGGAGAGGAGAGGAGCAAGCTCCACTACTGCAGATGGTGAGATAGACTCATACACCGCCTGCATTAACAGCCTATCACTGGAGAGAGAGAGAGAGAGAGAGAGAGTGAGAAGGGAGAGAGAAAGAGGAGGGGGGAAGTGACGGGTAAATATGGAAAGATATGATGGGAGAGAGAGCAAAAAGGACTGAGAAGAAAAGGAAGAGAGAAAAAGTGAGCTAGGGAGGAGGGAGAAAGTGTCTCCAGAAGATGGATAGCGAGAGGAAGAAAGGCAGGAGGGGGAGAAAGGTGTGAAAGATGTGAAGAAGATAGCAAGGTAAAAAAAAAAAAAAAAAACTGAAAAGGAGGGAGGGTGGGAGCGAGTGCGAGTTAGATGTTCAGAGAGCTTATGGAAGAAGTGTCAGGTCAGCTGGTTCCTAGGAGCCAATCGAGTGCGGCTTTGAGCCGTAGGTTTCTTCTATCAAGTCTTACCATCAACACAGGTACACACAAAAACACACACTAACATAGACAGATAGACAGACAGACAAACAGACGCCAAACATCAAAACCAAACTCAAGCTCTGAGATTTAGAGCAGCCTCTAGCATAAACACTCTCTCTCACACACACACACACACACACACACACACACACACAAACACACACACACACACACACAGTCTCTTTTCCTGGCTGCTGCTCTGCTGTCATGCATTATTAATCCCTTCCACTTTTCAACACACCAAAGAAAAAAAAAAAAAAGTGTGGACCTTACAATGAAGCACACAGCACATTCTAGGTGCACAAAGTAATAATAAGAGATGGAGTAAACTCATGGGGCAACTTAGGCTTTGTCCGATTCACCTAAACTTGGGCGTGTGCATGAAATCAATCATGAGCTTTTGCAGAGACATCTCTCACTGCCCCTCCTCTGATGCAACGTGCTGCAATTCAAGCCCATTGTTCTCAATCCACCTGAGTGTTTTTTTTTTTTGTGCGTGTGCATTCTGTGCTCGCTCTACACTGTATGTGTGCACTGGTTGAGGCCAGGTTGGTTGCCTGGCAACACTAGGCAGCCTCAATGGAGGAGCGGTAGAGTCTTCTTAAACAAGACAAACACGCACACAAGATTTTTGGGGCCAGCAGGAGTGATTTCACTTGCACAAACGAGCAAACACACATACTTACACACTCTGCAGCATGTTGAGCCTATAGAAGCTTTGACCTAGTTCTCATACAGTGATATTGACTTCAGTGCACAACTCTGCATCCCAAATTTAGCCCTGACATCAGTATAGCAGGGTTGGTTAATAAAACAGTAAAGGTTTGAGGTGTGAAAACAAGCCCTGTGTGACAACGCTGTCACCAGTCTGGAGCTCTATCTATCCAGCTCTTGTATCCATTATTGATGCCTGAGGCTTAGCTCACAGCTCTCTACCCTCTATTATTTATGTCTGAAACAGCTGGCGGTTAATACACAGAGGAGCTATTCTCTATGGGAGTCTGGATGGGAGAGAGAAAGCGAGCAGCGGGTATTGGGGCTCACTATCTCCATGGCAACTTGTATCACTGGGAAAAAAAAGTGCGGCAGGCAGAGTTTTATAACACAGAAGAAGAACTGCAGCACACACAGACGCCCACAAAGAGCCTGAACACATCTCACTAGCAATCCGAACAATAGAGCAGAGGAGTCTGTGGTGAGCCGTCTCATAATGTTTCCTCTGACATCCTCTATAAATATTCCTCAATAACACTCAGGTGTTTCTATTGTCGAGTCCCATTTGCATCAGTTTACAAGACGAATATTATGGAAAAGCTATTACAGCCTCCATTAACACAAACATTTATGCTCCTGTAATTTAGTGGCCAGGGATCACTTTGCTGTCTAATCCATTCATGAAGTATCAAATGAGTGTGAGCCTTCTATTGATGAATTTTTCTTGATATATATATAACATCACAGAGAGATTACATTTATGTTTGCATCAGTATTTCTTTGACTGGACATTCCTGCGTCATATTACACAGGATTCTTACAGCTTTAGAGTAACATTCAAGCACTTTTTAAGTAATTTCAAGTAACCCAAAAACATCAGACGCAGAGCTGAACAGACTGCAAAAACATGCAGTTTCAGAGTTTTGGCTGGCTTTGAGGGTCATTAAGCTCTGGTCTGCTTTGCTCCACGTCTGGTGTTGGACACAATAAGACAAAACTAATATGAAAACAGAACTGTTTCCATTAAAATAGTTGAAGTTTTTGATTTACGTGATAGTGTAGAAAATCAAGCCTTTCAGTATAATCCAAAATTGAAGCATATTCCTAATCTTAAAAGCATGATGCTTGAAGCATTTTAAATACGTCAAAAACTCTAAGAACTGTCAATACAGCGAAATGATTAAAGTTTCATTGAGTTTGTTTTCTCCAAAGATGTTCAGAAAAAAAAACTTGGCCAGCTTTTTTAGTCAAGGTTCAAAACTTTAATGTTCAGACATCTTGTCAGCTTAGGGCTCTAAAACAATAACCATGAAACAGCTCACCGTCCAGGTTCAAGTCTGGCTGGAGAGCTTTGATGCACATCAGTGCCTTTCCCTCCCCTGTCTGTTTTTCTCTGTGTACTTTTAAAGAAAAGACTAAAGCACCTAGAAAACCCCCCCCCCCCCTCTCTCTTCTTCCTTTGACTGAATCCTGAGAACTTATCATTATCCACATTGTGCTTTGATGCTGAACTTCCCTTTATTGTAGGTGACCTCTTTTTTCCACAATACCATTAGATTTCTATTTTAATGCCGAGCGTACATTAAAACCCTTTGTTTTGTGTCATAAATAAACTTGAGTGGAGTTGAAAACAATCCCCCTCTTCCTGGCCTATCTTGCTATCCTCTAGCTCTTGATAAACTGAGAGCTCGCTAATCCTCTTAGTGAGTTTATAAAAGAAACTTATCAAAGCAAATGAACACTTTCTAATTACCCACTGTTCCACAAAGACTGACAGTGTGGCGTTGAGGTGATAGGAAATATATGCGAAAGTAAATATTTGATTAATGACCACACAGAGAAAAGCGGGTGTGCTCTGACCTGCTGTGTGGAACCCTGTTTCCTGTTGGTGGCCGTGGTTGTTGTGATGTCACTAATGGAAGGGGCGGAGTCGGAGCGGTTGCCTCCGGCTGCAGCACTGGACTGAGGGGTGATAGAGGAGGAAGGCATGTCGCCGACCAGTCGTGCGCTGCCCTCCACTCTGATGTGCGGGTGCCCCTCCGCGGCCATGTTTAGGATGCGGAGGCCGTTGTAGTAGAGGCCAGACAGTTGACCCTGGAACATAGCGCTTCGCTCGCCTCCGCCTACTTTCACTGTTGTCTGGCTGTTGAAGATGGTCAGCTGTCGACCTGCATAGACACACACGCACACACACGCACACACACACACACAGACCCATGCAAACACGCGCCAAACACACAGACGTACACCAGGAAAGAAGACAGACGGACACACGCAAATACAGCCACACACATACATACCAGTGGTCACATACGTGCATACATACACACACAAGAGTGTTTGAGTGTTACACAATCCACCAACCCCAAGCCATGGTGAGAGGATGGGACAGAATAAGCATGGCAGAGCGAATCGAAGCCATGGAGAACTGTAGAAAGGGCTGAGACTGAGAGAGACGAAGAAGAAGAAGAAGAAGGAGAAGGAGAAGAAGAGGAGGGAAGTGGGGTGAAGTGACAGAGAAATCAAGGAGGAGTATGAGGCGAAGAACAGAAGAAGGAGGAAGCGGCAGCAGATGAGAGGAGTCAGAGGTGCCCCGAGAAGACGGGGCTGACAGATGGTTGCTATGGTGATGGCTGTGCGGCACGACATTGTATTTGAAGGAGCAACAGACAGGCAGACAGAGAGACAGAGATCTAGAGAACTGTTGAAACAGGCCTATGAAGCATGCACAGGTTATAAGCTCTAGCACTGCTCACTGTTAAAGGGACTAGAGGCTAATTTAAGGAGCTCTGCTGAAGTTTAGGAGGAAAACTTTTACACTTTTACAAAAAGCATTGCTCTATTAGTCATTTCAAATTTACTTCATTCTTACAAGTCACAATACTTTGCATGTACTTTAATTTGATTACAAACATATAATCTTTAGTAAATGCTTTATAGTTTACAATTTGATAATAAATTATTTACCAGTCTTAATAAAGCACCTTTTATCAGTACTTCTTGTCTATTTTCTGATTTATTCACATTTAAATCTCTCCATCGTCCCTTTAACCTGATATTAAAAGATACACACTATCAAGATACGTTCACAGGCACTACAGTTTACACAGTATTACACACTACAGCTGCCCAACTTTTATATACTTAGTTATGGATTTAGATTTTTAGATGTTAGTTGATGGTGCACAATAAAGTATATTCAACTGCCTTCAATTGTATTTTTTAAGCTGAAAGTTTTAAGGAATTTTAATCAGGTTTTTACCTTTGTCGAGTAGCCAATCGTCAACTACTCGACCGAGCCGATAGGGGATTCGCTGTCTGGCGATGGCCAGGCGCTCGTTATCAATGTTGCCTTTAATTTAGAGATGAAAACACAGTAGTAATTACGCACATCCAAACGTGGTACAGGAGCTGGATACAAAAAGAACAGCAATGAAAAGAAAGTAATGGTCCGCTCATTGTTAGCATGTCACTGCGTTACGTTAAAGCTTGAAGAGAAGAAGAGCTGAATTCATGATGTTTCCAGTGAGCGGACTCTTACTCTCTGTTCATTGGGTTTAATTTAAAGAGACATTTCAGGGGTTAACATCTGCAAGAGCACAGGGAAATAATGTTACAGCTGCCACATACTGCCTATATGACTGACTGAGTTTAGTGTTACATACAGGAAGAACCCTCACACACACCTCACAACAACTAGCATTTAGCATTTTAGCTAGCTGGACTTCATTGTGTTAAAGACTACTTCTCCCTAAGATTACCACTTTAAATATAAAAGAAAACAAATGTAAAAACAAAGACAAATACACTTTTTTCCTTTTTTCTTATTTTTTTCTCTCTAGTTATCTCAAAATATGTCATTTTTTAAAATTATTGTTTGTCCAAAAATGCACCAACTATTATTATTTTCTTTTATGGTGAGAAAAACAACTGACACCTGGATTTAATATTTTCATAAATTACCTTTAACACTATTTAACAGGCCTAACATGACATAACTGGCTAATATACAACCTACTGTAAATAATGTCTCATTTTATGGTTTAAAAAGTCATGTTTCATGTCAGATCACACATATTTCATTTCAAACACAGTAACATAAAACAAAGCTGCAGTTATATTTCTCATCCTCAGAGTTTAATAGAAACATCGATAGGAACACTGATGTGATTCATCAATCAGGAAGTGGGTTGATTTGAACTAGGGTGTAGTTCGCTGCGTCCAGGGACAGACAGTGCTGTGGTGGGTGGGTGGGAAGAGGTTTGGGCTTTATGTGGGCGGGGCAGGGCCTACCTGAGGGATAGCGCTCTATGACGGGTAGGTCATCCAGTTGGAGGGTGGCATTGCCTCCGCTGCGGGTAAACCGTATGATGTGGTACTTCCCATCGTTGACAAACTTAGCGCTTTCCTCGATGTTGATGTCGTCAGTGCCAACATTAAACACTACTCTAATGTTCCCTTTGTCCTGAGGAGGGGGAGGAAAGTTACAGAAAGGCTTTAAAAGGTATATTATTGTCATACAGACTTTGATTTGTTTTGATTTTCCATTCAATGTGTGTGACTTCTAGGGCTGCACAATTAATCACAATTTCAGCATTTTTGTGATATGAACCTTTGTACAAGCACATGGCAAAAGTCTAATTTTAGTGCAAAAATAAAATTATTTAATGTTATTTCATGGCTCTCTCACTCAGCAAGCTTACATGTTACCTATTATATGGAGGCCTGGATATAATGGCTATGCTTTTACATCATTTGATGCAGCCAGGCGAGGCTCAAGATAGATATCGGCTACCCTCAGATTATTCAATGCCAATCAAGTGATGAAAAGAAAAAAAAACATAGTTTAACTTTTGCCTATTTATCCAGCCTCATATCGAACAATGCTTTTTTTCATTTCATTTTTTCATATCCTGCAGACCGAGTGACTAACTGTTATAGAGTTGAATGGGTTCGGCTGACATAACATTGGCTGCTGTTAAGTCACAGAATTGACTTTGAAGTGCTGATGCTTGTTTGTATATCACTAAATTTCTCAGGGTGTTGCAGTTTGAGATTTGTTTGAGCTATATATATATATATATATATATATATATATATATATATCTTCAACATAATGTTCTTATTATTTATAAGAACAATACCCTTCAGATATGTGCCAGAGCTCTCTGATAACAAGAAAACACTCTGGTTATCATTTCTATCAAAATAAAGATGGTGATGCAGTTGGAGCTTTGTTGCTCACCTTGGGAACATAAGAGTTTCTTACTTTGTCAAAGGTGCTCTACCTGATCTAGACCTTAAATCAAATATATGTCGGATGTTTATTTAAACCAAAAAGAAAGAAAGAAAGAAAGAAAGAAAGAAAGAAAAAACCATGAATGCACTCTACTTAATGCCCGTTCCTCCTCCAGTGGACTCTTTCTTTTTATTCTGTTATTATCAGATTTTTCTTTGACTGTTTTTTTTAATGAATGTTTCTCATTTGTTATGGACTTTAAATGCCTAATGTGTATAAATTGTGCCTTATGCATAAATGTTTCTGACTTAGATGTCTTGGGGAGAAATACTGCATAAATAAGAGAGGTTACGTAAAGCTTGTTGTGGCTTCAGAAGGAGCTGTTCCAATTCTGATAACACTGCCTCAAGTGATGTCACTTTGTCACGTCAGCTGATGTCGAACACTTTAAGTATTGAATAAAAATATCCTGGAGTGTGGAGCTCATGAGATGACTCCTCACTTCTGCCAGCATAGCAACACGCATAAACGTCTTGAATGAAGGATAAACTCTGTTTTGTTTTTTAAATATGTTTTTTTTTTACATGAACCCCTTCCTAAAAAAATTGAATAATGTTTTAGAAGTTTAATGTTTAATCAGCATTTAGCTTTTAAATGTAGTCCTTTTCACAAAGTCTCTATCCTCAGGAAGATAATGGATCTGTTTAGTGATGTGTGATGTATTTCTGGCTTATTATCCAGACAAACATACAAAGTTACATTACATGTCCAGATGGAGCTCAGATTCTTTGTTAGGTGTGTTTAGATACAACTTTCACTAAACTACTATACTACTTAGTATTCATTTTATTGTAATATTAATCAACCTTTCAAACAAATAAAATACTTTCAGGAGCTGAAATCAGTAATTAAACAAGGCAGTTAAATTAGACTATCATATATTGAAGAGATATTACATGATATTATTTTGAATGTGTTCTGTCTGATTTAATCTGCAAAAAAAAAAAAAAAATCATTTATAATGTATACTTTCATCATTTTATGATATTTTATTTTTGTTTAATTGTGTGTCAGATATGCAAGAATATATTTCAGGTTTATAATTTTCTGTGCAGGCTCTGCATTGACTGCGCATAGTTTGGAAAAAAATAATAATATTAACCATGAATTCATAATGTCAGGAACTTTAACAGTATTGTACAGAAAGAAAGATGATTGTGCATCGATTCTCTTCTGGTGGTGCCTATTGATTTGTTTTTCAAACATGGGGCACACATGTCTTTTTCATGATGGAAAGTGATATGCATGGAATACGCTTACATTTTAAGGACTTTTGAAAAATCACAATTCCTTTAGACTAGTGTTTGAAATGTAAAGGTGTGTACTTACTATCTGCAGCTGAAGGTAGTCTCCCAGACCAGCTGCGCTGTCGACTCGGAGTAGAGTGGCGTGTTTCTGTTGGGTGCTGAACCCAAGGGCAAGCCGGTCTGCCCTGGTGCTGGGACGTTCGTTAGGGGGCCATGTGTAAACCACCACCCCTCCATCACGGCCAAAAATATAAGTGGTTCCAGCTGGTCCACAGGGATAAGAAAATAAATAAAGATGTATGCAATAAACAGTGCTACCTGTCATCAACAGTCTCCTACTTCAGACAGCACCCAGCCCTGTTATTTTTATCCTAAATTTTTAACATCAAATAGGTATTTTGATTATTATAAATGTCACAGTTGACCGAGCTTCCATGCTTTTCTCCCACACATTGAAAGAAGAAACTGTATTTCCCAAGTACTTAATCTTAACATTGCTGCAGGAGGCTGACTGCAACAAATGACTCACACAAATAACAGCTTATAATAGTTTGACTCACTGTGAGATGACTAAATAATCAGCAAGTATCTTTGCTTCAAGGCAGCTGGGGATAATTCAGTGTCAAAAGCTTGAAAATGTGAACAGGATTTTATTAAGTGTTACAAGGAGAGTACAGATTACAGAAACGGAACTGGCGAGCAGGTGGTATTTTTGTGCTGAATTAGAATCAACAGATGACAGTGCCCCCATGTGGTTGCTCTTATTAAATGCAGATAATTCCAAAATTCTACTTCTTTATGACTGCAGGTAAAGGAGTGCCCATAGCCTCTATTAATTTTAACAAGCGTCTCTGTGTCACATAAAACAAGCTCTTTCTAAACTCTTCTGTAATCAACCTAGGTCTGAAGGACAGATGAAAAGAAAACACTCACCATCATTGCATAACGGCCCAGCGTACGAGGTCATGCTGCAGTCACAGGTGAAACCCTCCCACTGCTGCAGACACACTCCCTGATTTGAACATGAGTCTTCCTGACACGTCGTGCTGGGACCTGCAGTGACAGACGTGGCGGGATGGGAGGGTGCAACAGTTAGGAGAAGAATAACAGATTTTTGATTTTGTCTGGATCCCAATGTGTTCTCAAGATTATGCCAGTACAGAATGGTTACTCTTTCTAAGGGTCTCCTCATTTCCTTCAGCAATTTTTGCATTTTGTAATGGCAGGGCAAACGGTTTTGCCTCAGTGGTGTTAGTAGTATTAGTAAAAAACTTTGATTTGATGGATACAGACTGCCACTATTCTGATTTATGCCAGGTTCAGACATGAGACAGAAGTGCTGCTATTTATACATTCTTGTGCAAGCTGTAGTCTTTCTGTTCTCACTAGAAGGGATTTTTTCCGCAACATTAACAAACGTCTGCTTTTTTTCCTCTTTTCTAATCACATGTAGACCACCTTTGTCTCTTTCAGTTATCTTGTGTGTGTTTGCTCTAACTTGATCTTTGTTTCATGACAATTAGTAGGCTAGGTTTTCAGAAAACCCAATTAAATAGCAGGGATTTATTTGAATATATGAATATATTGGATGGGAAGATCTAGACATTTTCGACATGAAGGAAGAAAAATCTGGTTAATTAAACTTAAGAGCAGAGGGGAAAAGAGCAAGGAAATCAAGAGTTGGCAACCATGAGAATGCATATTTCATATTTATCTGTATTGTTCATATCATTTATGGATAATCAGTGTGATTTCTTGCAAGATTTGTTTGCAGAGGACAAAATATAGACCAGTCGGCCAAAATAAAACTAAAGAGTAGTGGGGGATTGTAGGAAAATGAAAGAGTTGGCAACCAATGAGAATCATATTTCATTATTTATCAGTCATATCATATATATCACTATTCATTTATAGTAGAATCTTGCCAGATTTGCTCATGGTGAGCAAAATATAGAACAGACGGCTAAACCATATCTGCAGCTGGTTACAGAGCTTGGGGGCCTGTTCGCTCCCTGTCTGAGCCACCCGATTAGTGAACATGGGTGCTGGAAGGAAAGAGGCTACCCTTCAGGGCGAGCCCGCCTCCTGTCTGAACCCTGCGTTACACTGGCAGTAGATGCTACATTATCAGTATAAACTAAACTGAAGCTGAACTGGAAACTATGTTACTAGGTGAAAAGAGCCAACTGAGGAGAGCATGCAGGTGGTGAAGCTAGATGAGTGGGACAAGGACATGATGAGGGGTTAAACATAAGAGGGCAGATTTATGTTTAAAGGCCTTCATCTCAATACTCCCTCTCCAGCAGTCTGTCACTGTTCACTCCCTGCCTGGTGCTGAAAGCACACAGGAGGAGAATGTCAAAGCTCTGAACTTGTTTCTCCTTCGTTGCACTTCTCACTCGAGGTGGGAGGAAGGCTGTGAAATGATTCACACATGGAGTATTGGAGTTGAGGTTTTGGGAGTCAGTCGTTGGGGTTTAGAGAGCATGCTGCTGGCAGGTGGTGGAGCAGTGGTTAACTCAAGTCAAGCGATGGTGATGTCACTACGGTGATGAACTTACTACAGTGGCTAGGAGAGGACAGGTCACCTCTGACCTTTTGACTCTGGATCGCTGGGATCCACCACACAACACTGGACACCACTGGGTAGTTTTAGCACACGCACACACACACACACACACGCAAACTCACACACATTGTTCCCACGATCGTACACGAGTCTCACATGCTCATACAAAGCGATATACCTTGCAAGTCAGCTTTCATCAATGTAACTTTTGTCAGCCAAACAAAAAAGCAAACAAGCAAATTAAGTTAGATGGTTAGTCAATGCACACGGATGCCTGTGAACTGCTGAAAGAGTGGAACAGAGAGAGAAAATGTGCAAAAAGACTGAGGAGGAGGAGATGATTATAAATTGGGTAAAATTTACTTCTAATTGACCAAAAGCTGGGTTAGTGGGTTATCTGATAACAGAGAGAATGAGTTCAATGAAAACTGAAATAAAAGGCAGCAGGGACACGAGACGAGGAAGGATCTGCAACCGTGTTGTATGTGTGTTTGCATCTCACCTTCACAGCCTCTCTCCACCTGCCCCATGGTTGCCAAGGCATCAGCCAAAAGGTCAGGAAGGCGGCCATTTAGATCGACTGTTGCTAGGCAACCCTGGAAGCCCTCCCGGGAGTGGACCAGCTTAGGTAGGTCTCGGTACATCTCTTTGGAGATCCCACCAATATAAAGATCACCTGATGAGGAGCAAAGGAATGAATGGCAACTTCATGAAACAACCACAATGCCAGGACAGAAGCTAATGATTTTCAAGATTGATTGGTCTAGCTAGTATTAGTTCACATCATTTATAAACAGTTTTTATTAAAGGTTAAAAAAATGGCACAAATAAATAGAATAAAAATATGTTGGCCAACAGCAAAAAAACAAAAAACAAGGAACAAGTGAATACATGCAATCTATTTTTTATGAAGCCAAATGAAGCCATTAAGTAAAATTGTTTTGCTCAAATTTTCAAACTGTTTGAGGAAATGAACAGTGTAACATTTCTAATGTCAAACTATTTAACACTAATTTCCTTCATCACAGAGTTAGATTAGAAAATCAAAACATCTCTCAAATCTTTGAAAACAAAGCTACTTAAAACCGACATTTGGCTAAGCTTAGCAGGATGACTGTAAACAGGAGTAAACAGCAAGCATGGCCTTGTCCAAATATTACAAAATCCTACTGCCAACAAGCACCTACTGTATATGATATGTGAAAATAATGAATATTCTATAACATTGTTTAATATTGTGATAACTATATGAAGTGCTGTAAATAAACAAATATTAAAGGTCATTTATATATATATATATTTTAGTACCTGAGTTTGAAACATGTCTCCTGAATTCAGAATAAATAAAAAAGCTGTTTTTTAACCACTAAATTGGCACCAAACTTCCTCTGAAGCATCAATATGGTGTGAAAGCACGACCATTATACTCAGGATCCATCCAGTGGGTAGAATGTAGCATGCTGGGTAAAATAGCATTACTTTTCTTACTTTGTTAGAGCAAATGAAGACTTTGTGTTGTGTTTATTGCTAAAGCTTATATCGACATAACGATGAAATTAAAATGAATTGTTCAGCCCTATACTGAAGTTTTCTGGCAAATATTATTCTGGTACGAGGCACCATGCAAGAAGCATATTTACATTTTGATTTGTTTTGTGATTTAACAAACAAGAAAAAAAAAAAGTTTATTATTGTGCCTTAGAGGTGCTGATAGCTTTATGTCACAAAGGTATGTTGGATGAATTGAAGTTTCCTCAAATGTTAAACAATTAATTTAAATGACTTATTTTTACAATGATTTGTCAGTAAATGTTCATACTATAGAAATATTAGCCTCATTCATACAAGACAGTTTATAAGTATGTTTTATGAGTATTTGTACAAATAGGGATTACGAGGTTTCACTGCCTGTGTTTTTGTGCATACCCTTCAAGTCGAGGTTCTTGGCTCCCATCGTGGTCTGCGTGGTTACTTTGGTGTCAATCTTGACCGTGTGGAGATTGTTAGTGTCTCTGGATATGTGTACATTATGCCAGTGGTTGTCATTAAGGGGACTATTAGAGTTTCCTTTGATCAAGTGTGCTCCATTGCCCAGGTCAGAGATGTAGTGTAGGTAGCTAAAAAAGGAAACAGGGAAAGGAGAGAGGGGGTTAAAAACATGAGGAGTGAAAAGACAAAGTAGTTGTATTCATGATGAAGAAAAACATAGGGTCATACACTTCAGGGCTCTTTACTCTGTCTTGTAGAAATTTAGTTATATGACGTTAAAAAGAGCTGCTTAAGTGCTGAATTATTTGTGTTTGATATCAGTCTCTCTTTTTATGTTCATCATGGACAATGTTATATATCAATCCAAAGAAAAACAAAAACACTGCAAATGCACATTTCCACAAGACAGACATCACCATAAACACAAAATAGTTTTTTTTTAAGGTACATCATTTACATTTAAATGTGAAAGCATTGCACTCATGTAATGTAAATACGGCATGCTGTGCTTTATCTCACCCTTTAACCAGCTCTATCACTATGAAGTCATTGCCATCTCCCCTGTTGTACAGAACAAGGCCGTCAGGTGACGTTGTCTTGAACTGCATGAAGAGATGCATGGAGTAGTAGGCTTGCAGTGTTGGCAGTGTGACGAAGCTGGAGCGCGAGCGGAAGGTGACGGGGTCAGCCACAATGCTCTTATAGCCGATTACAGCGTTGAGCTCGCAGTAGTCGATGTCACCGTTCTTACACAGGTCAATGTAAGACATACCGTTCAGGGCTAGGCCCTGGAGGTGGCCAATGAAATTGGAGGGCACAGCTGGCATGAAGCGCTTCTCCGTCACAATACCGGTCTCCACATTGTGAAACTCCAGCTGGGTGTGGTCGCCCGCCATCTGACCTGGTGGTGTGGGGTAAACCTCAGAGATGAGGGCTACGGAAAATTGGGTTTCAAGTGGAACTGCTCAATGCTCAAACTAATGCTTATAGTGATTTAACCCTTGAACAGACATTTGATAACTGCTAGGAATAGCATGGATGTAATAGACATTTATAATAAATTGAAGTTATGTTAATTCCATTTCAAAATATTGATTCATATTTACACAGGTAGAGATGTTCTCTAAAAAAAGAAATATAGCGCTTAATGTTTGTTTTATTTCATCAAATAAAAAAAAGAGACAACAAGCAATAATAACATGATTATAAGATACTTTCCACTGAATACAGACATTACACACTTTCAGAGACTGGGTGAAGATTAAGGGTCACAAAAAAGCTGTAAGGAGTATAAGTAATGTGGCTGTGGTTACCTTCAACAGGCTGCAGGTCGTCCACGGTGAGTTTGAGGCTCTTGCCACGCCGGACTACCCTCACTGTGTGCCACTCATTATCATTGAGGCCCGACCCCGCAAAGATAGTCTCTGGGCCTTTACCTACACATAGCCCAGAGCACCATTAACGCAATGCACAGAAAGGCGGAGAGAAACAGACATATATAGAGAGAGAGAGAGAGAGAGACAGAAAAGATCCAGAGACAGACAGAAAGAAGAAGAAGAAGAATCCAGGCAGGCTGAATTCAAATTTGAGGACAGAAAGGGATGAAATGGAAGGAAGTAGCAGAGGGGAAGGAGGAACCATACATATCCTGAGGAGACAAATACCTCTGTTTCATCACACTCTCACCACAGATAGACAGACAGGTCTCTTTGCCAACAAGACAGATGATGTGACACAGACAGACAGACAGACAGACAGACAGACAGACAGACAGACAAACATAAAGATAAACATAAATGGATGCCATGGGCACCTAAGATGGAGACTGTGAGTCACAACAGGCCCACGCAGAGATAATCCATCTGTGGACAGATCACACGGCCATGATGGCCACCTACAACCCACACATGCACAGATAGCATAGCGCACCCCCTTGACTCCTAAACCGCCCCCACAACCCTCCAACCTGCACAGATTTTAATGTCTGGGATCTTGTTTTTTTTTTTATTTTCCACAAGAGTGCAATACCACGTTGATCCTCGTGGTGGCACTAGACACACAGCAGTACACCCGAGAGCTCTCCAAGGTGCTGATGTGCAGCAGAATAAAAGAAGCTGAGCTGTTCTCTCATGATGTCTCTCTCTGCCAATCTACCAGCTCACATCTCCACATAGTTGACTGCACACATTTGACAGGCCGACTGTTCCCAAAACCTCAGTGTCCCCTTCCTGCTACTCGCTACAAGCACCCCACCAACCTTGAAAACAACAACCCACCATCCCTCACCACTAAAGCACATGCACACACACACACACACACACACACACACTCTCCTTCTTCTTCCTCCTCCTAGCCCTGTCGGTCTGAGCAGCGTGAGTGAGTCTGCAAATGGTGACCTATAGGGGGTAATGATGGGGGAGGTGAGAGGGAAACTGACCCGAACGGATTCTGCTGCAGAAAATGTCAAGCATGCCGACATCACTCATATAGGCACGCAGGCAGGCAGGCAGCCAGCCACACACACACAAAGACACACACAGGTAAAAGGTAGAGAAAGAGAAAGATGTACCGGCATGCTGACATGCAAATATAATTAAATAAATATAAGAAGTCAATCAAAATGCATTAAAAGCGTGTGTGTGTGTGTGTGTGTGTGTGTGTGTGTGTGTGTGTGTGTGTGTGTGTGTGTGTGTGTGTGTGTGTGAGTTTGTGCTTGCAAAGCCAAAAGAGTGTGTTCAGCTTTCAAAGAGGACACAGGGTTCCCCTGAGGAGACTCAGCTGTGCTCTGGGCATGAGCATCTCATCCTGTTACCATGGATCACTGCCTAACACTGAGTGAAGGAGAGAATATGTGCATGTATGTGTGAGTTCATGAGTGTGTGTGTTTCTGCATTCCTAACAAAATAGTCAAAGAGCAGATTGATGCAAGAGCGAGGCAGTGATCTGTGTCAACCTGGGAACAGGGAAAAGCACAAACACACAGCAATAAACAGCCAGACAGAGTCTTACAAACACACAAACACACACGCATATGAGCACCTATTTTGGGTCAGTGCTAACAGTGCGCTCAGCGGCATGGTGAGCTACTAGGGGTCAGCTGACAGTCGGCGGTCTGTGCTATTAAACCGAGAGACAACAAGGCGAGACAATCCAAACAGAAGGACAGAAGAGGATGGAAAAACAATTCAAATCACATGACATAAGCTACTGCAGATTATAAGAGCAGGATAATGAAAACAAAATGACAAAAAGCGTTTCATATTTCATTAGCTCCAAATAACAAATGGCTTTTCTGCTGGATAAGCCCCAATCTCTCCCTTGCCGAGGCTTTTTATTCGACTGCTGAGTGGACTGTTTCAGTGGCGCCTCGCTGTTAAATACATTTTTTTCTTCCCTCTTGAATATAAGATGTATAATTTATTGTATGCACACGGTGTGCCAGAAAAGTGGCTGCCTACTGAAATGTTCATTGAAACAACTGGTCTAAAATTGGCCATCAGGCATGGGGATAGCAACAGCACTGTGTGGCTAGTAGGGTTTCTATGGCAACTGCAGTCGTCCATTTCAGCACCTCTTCTCCGTCACAGAGCATTCGTCTCTCTCTCTCTCTCTCTCTCTCTCTCTCTCTCTCTCTCTCTATCGTTTCCTCAGTGGTCGTGACAGAGAGAAACTCCACGTGAGGGAATTAAACATCATCAGGGATTCAGCTCCACTCACAGCAGCATGAACAGAAACACACACACACACTCATTTTCACACGGGCAACACATCCATACAGCACACAGATGAGCAATGAAAAGAATTCATAATGCACACCATAAACGCTGAATAAAGCACTGTCCAAAAAAATCCCTTATGTACAGTTGAGAGAGAAAACAACAAGCAGACAAAGAAAGCAACCAGACAGGCATCGGGATGAAGGTGCGACAGAGAGGAACAGAGGGATAACACGTCTTTTGTCCAGGCATGAAGGAGAAGTAATTACCCTGCAGCCTTTAGTCGCAGTCATCCACCAGCTACCACTCTTTACTCCTAATTTTACCTGAACGCCTCAAACTCTGATTTTGTCCTCCTTCTTTTTCCTTTTCACTTTCCCTCCCCCCTACAAGCCCCACCATCCTCTCTTCTGTCTATCCTTCTCTGCTAAAATGGCCGACCTGGAAAACCCTGGCCCTCAGCAAAAAATCACACCACTCCTGTGGTGAAGCTGAACATGCAGACACAACCACACACACCTCCCTGTCCAACACAGACACACACACTCATATATGCACACAGTCACACGGTATGAAGATATGTTGAATAAGGGGTTAAGATCAGATGGGCTGACAAGACAAAGTGAAAAATAGTCAGACACACACTTTTACACGCACACACTCTGAGGAGGAGGAAGGGGGGGGGGGAGGTTAGGTGAGATGGAGGATCACTTACTGGCTGTACAGTTTATCCTGATACAGTCTGGAGGGAGAGCAGAGCAGAGGGTTAATGCTGCACACATACACATACTGTCCACGCCCTGGGGACGCACACATCGACACACCCTGCACGCATATATACAAACACACACTGCCGAGAAAACACACACTCTCCTTCAGGCTGTACTATGAATTTTCTTGCAATAGTTTGCAATTTCTGTGACTACGATTTTTAGCCAATAAAGAGAACAATTGTGACCAAAAGTGTTGGATATTTACATTAAACGGTTACATATAAAGGAGAGGGAGGTTTTGCCCATCACAGGCAGTGTGCTCAATGGCTGCTCTGGCCTGAGCAACAATTTCAGTCACTGATCAAAAGCACCAGGAGACTGAGATGGGAAATGTGTGTCGGATTGTCAGTTGACACTGAACACATCCCATCTTTTTTTTGTCGCCCATCCAGAGCACAAATCTCCACAAACAGTTGGAAGATTCAGCCCTGTGATTTCACATAAACTGTATATATTCTTTAAACCATAATGCCTTGGTGTGTCCTGTGGCGTCAACCACAGAAAAGACGTGGCTGCAGACAACCAGTGACCAACACATGCACCCCTTTGTTAGCCTATGTGAGTTTTAGCAAAATAATGTTCTTGAACCGATGTGTAAATAAGAGAGGGTGTAAAAGTGTGTTGCAGTTTAACATTTCCTAAAGTTGTGTTGGAGTTATGTGTTCAAACTTCACTGTTAGTGTAATTCTTTTGTGTATTGTTAAAGCCGTTAAGGGTTGCATAGGTCCACTGGGAGTGAGCAGAGAATGCAGCCTTAGGTCTGACCCTCTGTTCAACATAGACAAAAATTCAACTAGCCTTCAGTTTTGTATGTTTGTGTGACTATAGAAGCCAAAAAAGCAACATGAAGTTGATCAAAGTGCTAAAAAGTATACAATAAAAGCTTTCACATTCTTGTCCTGAACATGCGCAAAAGAATTATCAGTGTTTTTTCCCAAGAAGTTAGAAACGGCAATTAAAACAAAGACAAAAAACAACTTAGGCTACATGGATGAATGAAGGTGGATAACATTTGAAGGGCTAACTTTGATAAACTTAACCAAAGATAACCACCTCTGTTAGCTATTGCTTTAACTATTAAATGTAATGTAAAAACGGAAACAGCTGATTTTTGTTTATTATTTTCTGTTGACCCCCATAAAAAAATCTAGAATAATTATATGTTTTTACTTTACAGATGTGATATATTATTTATCAACATATAATGAAATCCCTGTGCTAGAAATAGCCAAGCGGTCAGAATGAGCAGTATTCCCCTGACATGTAATGTAAGTGACGTTTGAAAATCTCCATGTTTGTGAGCATGTGTGTACCTAGGTTGACAGTGAGTCGGACACGGCCCCCATCTAGCTCCAGACGAAGGGTGTCTGCAGAGTTTCGAGATGTGGTTGCCATGAGAACGCCATAAGCCCGCTGGGAGCGAAAGCGTAGCGAGACGTCCTCCGCCTCGGTGTGCATCGCCACAGGCAACTGCACCTTCATAAACTTACTGCCGTCGTACGACAGGATAGTTGCATCTGTACAAGACGGGGAAAGATAGAGATAGACAGGGAGGGAAAGAGACAGGGAGATTATGGCGGAGGAGAGAGAGGGTGGGCAGGGGGAAAAAAAAAAAAAGAGAGAGAAAAGGTTGACAAGGACAAAAGTCATGATGTAGGAAGATATCATTTGACATCTTGTGAATCAGATGAGAGACTAGCCTCCCCTGTTCCCCTGCCACGTCATGCTGAAACTCCAAAACCTGCTTCCTACAAAATTAGCCCACCACTTTGCACCGTTAATTCATCATCACACCTCACAAAAGAGCGAGTAAAAATAGCCCCAGCTGGTTGGCCGGCCCTATTATCCGCTTAAATCAGAATGCACGGTCGTGAGTGTGTAAGCCACCATCGCTGACATCCTAGACCCTAGAGTCATAATGTAACAAGCTCAGGTGATCCCGCTTTAATGTCTTTTGCATACTCATTTACATATTCATAATCTTCTGTCCCTGCTACCTGCTGGGGCCAATCCCAGACCGTTAAACTGTTTACCTCCAAGGACCCACTTTTTTATTGGCCAATTACATACACAGCTAAACACACTCTGTCTCTCAGTCTCTATCTCTCCCTCTCTTCTCCTCCCTTCTTCTTCTTCTTATATCTCTACATTCCGTTCCTCCATTCGCTTTCTGTCCCTGTTTCTGTGGGAGACGTTCGGAGCTGAAGCAAAAAAAAAAAAAAAAACCAAGAGAACAGGAAGAGAGGGAGGCCTCATGAATACTGATGAGCTAAGGAGGAGGGAAAGAGAGAGATAGTGTGTGTATATGTGCGTGCCTGTCAGAATAAGTGAGCGAATTTAAGTGTGAACAGAGGAGGGTTTAGTAAAGTGAGAGCAAGGGGGGATAGGGACAGAGCAAGACAGAGAGAAAGAAGGGAGGGAGGAAAGAGGGGAGAAAAGCTTCTGGCTAAAATGCAAATGAACCCTCATTAACTTGAGGAAAAAAGGAGGTGGTTGGCCTGTTATATCACAGATAACATAACTAACAGCCACACATACGTACACCAGTCTTAGCACACTTGCACACACATATGTGCACACATTTCTGATAAAGTAGACAGCTGACAACATTTTCCTCACCACGCCACCTGACTCACTAACAGGCAACAGCAGAGGAGGGAGGGCTGGCAAGAGGGAGGTATGGAAGCCCCTTTGTGCCAGTGTAATGCACAGTGGTCGTGTCACATCACGCACTAGATGTGTCATGCAAACAGAGTTACAAGTTCAGGGACAGGACTTGCAAATTTCTATAATTTAGTCGTTTGTCAATGATCCAATGAGAAGACAAGATGTTAGTCTGCCTCTGAATACTCTCTTATTTTTCATGCCGTCTGTGGCACTCGGCCTAATGCTAGTAGACTATACTGAAGACATAAATCTTTAAATAAAGGTCATTAATAAAGGTTTATGTAACTAAAAACTCTTGTTAATACACGATAACAGCTGGCAATAGTGAAAAGAGCATAAGCATTTAGAAGGCTTGACATGTTGACAGTTTCATAGAGATGCTAACAGAAACAATGGTCATAACACTGTAAACATGGGCCTGGGTGTTTTATGGCCAGTCACACTCTCACTTTATAAAAACAAAAAACACACAAAAAAAAGAAGTTGTTTGACCGCAAAAAAAGTTAGTGTCCAGACTGCCTAATAATTTTAAGTTGAATACATTTGAGATGAAAAGCTGAGATTCATTTATTGTGAGCCCCTGAAGGCTTAGTTAAGAAAAATAAAAAACTCTGTTGTACTCAATTGTATTGAAAATTGTAGTTTAACCCATTGATGAGTAAAGATTAGATTTTGGTTTCATAACATTTAAATCTATTTCTTTCTTTATCTGGCATCAATGGGCTTCCATAGAGAAACCAGGACACCGAGCTTAAAACTGTGAACAGCAGCAAGTATTAGTAATCTGCTAAAATGTTCAAACGTTTCGCAAGAAATATGTATGCCACTGCTCTTATAAAATAAAAATTAATCTTGGAGCCAGAGCATGACGACCATCTTTGTTCATTAACGAAGAGAGAGGGGGAACAAAGGAGAGAGTAAGGGAACGAGGGAGGAGAAGAAAAAGGGAGGGCTAAAACCGCAGGTAGAAGGCGTAAACATGGCCAATCACTCTCTCCATCTGCTTCTCCATCTGTGCTTCCTTTAATCCACTGAACCACCAGTTAGTGACCCCTCAACGCACACAGAGAGGCATGAAGGAAGATATAGAGGAGAGGAAGCAGCACTGGGAGAGAGAGAGAGAGAGAGAGGGTGCATTGGTATGATAAACATACACTGCGGATGTTTGTCCTCCGAATAAACCATTTTCATATCAACGCCTTTCAGAAAGTGTGCGTGTGTGAATGTGTATGTCTGTATCTCATGTTCGATGATAGTACAACCATCACTTGAGACGCGTCAGCAGTTGTGGCACAAACAAAATTTCTTCTCTCCTCCTTGTCTGACTCCATCTCCCTTCTTTCAACAGGCCTGTATCAGTGCCTCTGCCAATCTTTTCACCTACTTTCCATTTCACTCTCTCGGCCTGAATTCATACCTTCCCCCCCCCCCCCATAACTCCCCCTCTGTCAGATTTTCTACTCCCATCTCCCATTCCTCCTCATCTCCTCACCTGCTGTCATATGGCGGTTCCAGCCTAGTGGTTCCACCCTCCTCTGTCACAGCTCCTGCTCCTTGCTTTCTGCACATTTCCTCCCCCATCGATTCCCAGTCTCTACATCCCGAGCAGTCCGATAGTCCTGTCTGCAGCTCTGCATCCTCCCACCTCTTCTTTTTCACCTTCCTTTGATCCTCTCCTCATTCTGCCCCAATCCTCACACTCTCACTTTCAGGCTAAAAATCTGTTTTTTTTTAATTAAAATAGATGCAGCCAGAGATAGAAAAGCTTTATTAATGTAATATCTTGTTGTTGAGCAAGCTGTCTCATTTCACCTCGCTTTTATTTTCCATCTCCACATTTCTCCACAGTGCCTACTTTCTACCTGTCTTCCTATCCTTCGACACTTCCATAGGCTTGCTTACCTAAGCTCAATTTGCATTAGATTTTTATTTTACGTTTTTATCAGCTACTAAATCTTTACGGGCATCATTTTTTAGTGCACATTAGATAAAGTACTTGAGGTTAGGTTTCAAAGTTGAAAAAAAGAGAAAAAAAGCACATCTTAAAAGGTATAATGGTTACATTTTTATCTCCCAATATAACTGATGTTCATAATATATTTTCACGAGTTATTTTTGACTTTAAAACTACAGACTCCCCCCCCATACCATCTGTCTTCTGTCAGTCATCCCTTTGGCTAAACTCAACGTTCTGAAGCCAAAAAGAAAACGACAAAGCTGTCAGAGTGACTGTTTTCTGCATGATAACATAGTATTAATTTTTCAGAAAATGTGGCTGTTTAGTGACTTTAATTAGCAAGCTTCCCTTATCTTTACTGGCGACTATGTGAATCTAACATGTCAGACAGTTACTAAACAGGCTGTCAAACGTCCAGTTGAGGTGTTGTAGTCTTCGTTTTTCTCTTCGACACCCCACCACGTCTTTCTCACCTCTCTCACAAGAGCGTCCCAGGTATCCTGTCCCCGAGCAGTCGCAAACGTAGCGGTTCCAGCCCTCCCTGCAGATGCCGTTGTGCTGGCAGGGATTCGACAGGCACTGTTTGGGAGACTCTCTGGAGCATGAAGGCTTCACTCCCACCGCACGCTGAGCCTCAGCCAGCCGCCGGATGTCTTTGCTCTGTCCGTCCACAAACAGGTCTCTGATGCAGCCCACGTAACCGTAGTTCAACAGAGCTGTCCACACCTGAGGAGGTCAGCTGTGTTAATTTGTTTTACTGGCAGGAATATAACCACATTTTTCTGAATTTGGTGGTAAACTTGAGTCAGAATCAAATCATGAACGGTAGTTTGTTCATGCCACAGTTAAAAGATGAAAGTACCAGTTATGTATCTATTTAATATCTTCACCCTTTATGTAGGTGAATACTGAGGTCTAGAATAACTCTTGAATCTCTTCCTTGCTTTCATTGCTCTACCAGGCTTTTTTTTTGGCATATTGTGATGAAAACAAATTATACTATTGAATAATTTCTTAATAATTTAAATGATCGATGATACCGATCTACAACAAAGTTTGATTCCATCCTACAGTGAGAGATGATTCAGTTTCAGTGTCTTAGTCTGAAAATCTCTAAATCTCAAAGTGTTTCCCCCTTCTTTAATCTAAGATGAAGAGCATGTCTCACATTTCCACCACATACGAGAATACATGCTTGAAATATGAGTTAATGATCAGTGTAGACAGTTTCCAGGTAGATTATCTCATGTAATGTAATGTAATTTAATTAAAAAATATGTAATATGATGGGTAATAGACAGATAGAAGTTATTTAATATGGAGGGTAAGCGATGCTCAATACTGACAGTATATGAAGCATGGCTGAGACTTATTCATTATTGATTAATATGGCAATTATAAAACCATTGGAGATGATGAAAAATGCCTCTTTCAAGGTGACTCAATTTCATTTCTTTCTCCATCAACATACAAAAACAATTAATTTAGTATAGTTCAAGACAAATACCAGAAGATATTCCACATAGGATGCTGTAACCATCAAATGTTTGCCACGCTTGTTTGAAAGTAACTTTAAAGGTAAATTAATTATCAGTATGATTATGACAGCTCTAAGTCATACTGTAGACAAACAAACCTCTGTGGGGAAGATGAGCCCAGCTCGGTCTTCAGGTAGTCCCCCAAGGTACAGCGTGTCATCCAGGTCCAGGATCTCACTGTCCCCCGGAGCCGTGTACGCTGTTCTTACACTGTTCACCGAGATGGTTCCTGGATTTAACACCACACATCAAAACAACTTCAGTAACAGGTGACCTCCAATGTGAACATCCTCGTCACAGTTATGACTATCAGCATCATCTTTATCATTGTCATGTTTCCTACGCTTTGTACTCCTCCTCATCATCACCACATCCTCTTCTCTGCTATAACCTGAACAATGCTAATTCATGACTACACCAGTCACTGTCATCTGTAAGTGTCGCTTGCCATAACCCCTCAACCCTGACATTCAAACTAAAACTACTTTTATCAGGCAGAACACATTATTTTATATTATGACTTGGAGCGATAGGGCTAATGATGAAGGGTCTGTGTTAAAGGACTGGGATAAAAAATACATACAAAAAAAGAATCACAAAGTTCAAATGAATGAAAAGACAATGATAGGCACAGTGTGAGTGTTTTATGTAGCTACCCATTGACAGCACGGGTTTTAATGGGAAATTTTACTATAACTACGGTAGCACGAGTCAACAAACTACTTCAATAGTACTCTTAGAGTTGACAATTATTCCAACACATTTCAATACAACTCATGGTGTTATAGTGTATCAATTGTGTGAAAAAAGGTTGAAGATCACACTTAAAACATGATTCAATAACCCCTGTTCAAATGAATTACAGACAGCAGACAGAAGGTAGCCAAATGGCCTTGCTTTGCTGATGCTTACTATAAAATGTTGAAGTACAATCTCGCCTACTCGTTACACTCTCCCTCCTCCTTATCAACCCATGTGGTCAAGGTTAGCGTCAGTGTGGAGAGAGCTGTGAGTGTACCTGAGCGCCCGTCCCTCTGGAAGTCCACATGATACCATTCCCCATCGTTGACCTTTCTGTCGATGGCCTTGGTCTTTGTGGTTCCAGAGCCCATGTCCAGCAGCAAGTACAGGTGCCCGTCCAGCATCTCAATGGCGAAAAAATCCACCTATAAATCACAGAGGCACATCATCAGTATTCTGTGAAAAGCAGGCTCTTTCACGGCTAGTGATATATATATGCTAATTGTAGCTACAAGTTACAATAAGGTAACCATCCTGGGCGGACCTGTGGAAGCTGCAGGTGAAACACGTTGTTCAATCACAATAAAGTTACAGAAAAGACATTTTCAGTGAGCCTCGGATTATTGATTTATTTAACCATGCTGTAGCTTTATCTTTTTTATCTGTTTTGTTGTGTAGCATTTCTATCTTTCGTTGGAGACTACTAATCCTACATTTTCAGAAAAAAATGAAATACAGTTTTGGACTAATTTCAACATCAGCCAGATTTATCTGATTTTTTTTTTATCATGAATTGAGAAGTCTATGGTAGAAGATGATTACAGGCATGGCAGGTTTATTTAGAGCACATCACTCAGACATAGAGCAATTCAAGGTGCTTTACAGAGCTGGAAAAAATATTTATAACGTTAAGAGAAATAAAAGACATGACACTAAGCAAAAATACGACGTCAAAAAAAGACAGCCATCACGGATTTAAGAGAACATAGTGTTCTAAAAAATTAAACATGATGTTTTTAAAAGCCAAAATCAACAATAATTATATAAAAAAGTGCTATTAAATTATGCACCAACCCTCATGAAGATATATCCTAATAATGTATTTTCCTCTGATGCCATCATGGGGTTAAAAACTGTTTTTTTAAAGACTGATTGCTATGAAGGGAATCAATTCTTTATGTCAAAATATCTATAAATAAATTATATTGTCCTCAGCCTCAGTTGTACTTTGTATTTTATGCCAAATAAGAAATTCTTACACACAAACACCTTTAACAATGTTGAAAAATGTGCAAAACAGTAACGTTTAAACATGTTATCATTCTTATTCACAATGGTGCTGGGGTTAGTATTGAGCTCACAGCTATCTCTAACAGTCCAAACGAGCCACAAGAAGATGAGCATATAGTCCTGTTTCCTTTCCAGTTTTACTTTTCTTGTGAGCTTTAAAAAATACATGTTTTATAATTTCACCTTGACTGTAGGAGGTGTTCTCGGGTCCTTGCGTTGCTGCTGTCGGGGTTTTCCATGGCTGAAAAGCATCAACCCGTTCGGCTCTGTAGTCCTGAAGTCGAACGAGATTGATCCTGCCTTCTTTGCTGCCCACTTGCTCAGTGCCACGAAAGACTCTGGGGTGTCAAAGGTAACAGGGTCCAGCGTGGCCACACTCTCACACTTGAAGGATACCACCCCACTGACCTATGTTAAAGAAAAAGCAATAGGTTTCTAAAATGATGTCAAGTTAAAATCACGCGCAAAATGCTTCCTTTGTAGCCTGGGAGTGAAACAAGGCCAGTTTCTCCCAGCCGTGAACTGCCTAAAAGACAAAAAGCTTTTGGCTACATCTCAAAAATATAATCCCATTTACTTAAAATTCCTACAGCATAAGCCTTGCAGAGCCTGACAGGAGGTTATGATACAAAACAATACTGTGTTCTGTGTATAAGAGGATAATGTGTTGTCTGGCTCAAATTGTACATGCTGTTTAAAGTGCATACCTTCATCTTTGGGTCTCCCTGTTTAGCCAGTCTAGACAGCTCCAGTCGTACATCATTGTTCTTGTACACCACCTTTAGGGAAGAGAATTAAAGGGAAGCAAAGGAAACATTAATTTACCTGAGAGTTTAAGAAAAAAGAGCCTTTTTTGGTCACTTTTGGACTGTGGCATCACATCTATTTCGTCTTTAACCAAATCATTTTTGTGTTTGGGTATTTTTACACGAAAGTGACAACCTTAAGACAAGCCAGCCACTCCAGCCTCATCTTTTGATAACTCCCATTTGTCCCTGCCACTTGCATGATCGCTTTCACTCTTCTCTCTCTTCTGTTTCTCTCGTTCCTCTCCATGACACAGTACGCTCTCTGACTGAGCAGCATGGGTGTAAAGAGTGCGCTTGTGCTGAGCATTCTGATGTCGAGAGGGATGAGCACACACAGGCTCGATTTTATTAAAAAAGACCTTTTCCTCTCACCTGTAAAGTACTCAGAGACATTGAAAACATTTCTCTTTTTTATATGTCATATGCTTTAGTGTCTGCGTAGGACAATTTGGGTGACTATTGAATAAAAGTGCTGCAAGTGTGCAAAATGGGGTTAGTGTGTGGGTGTGTGTGTGTGTGTGTGTGTGTGTGTGTGTGGTTGAGAGTGCCTGCGACGCATCAAATGCACCAAATTGTTACAGCCGTGATCGTTCATGCGCGTGATTCACTGCATACATCTTAATTTGCTCACGCGGATTATCATATCATCGTATTAAATATGTAAATGTGCCAGTGGAGGGGTTCACTTTGACAGCGGCAGCCTCGTTTAAACACCATCAGTCTTAATGAAGCAACACAGAGCACATTCACCACTGATACAGATAGCTCTCTGTTTGGCACATCATCTGTCGGCTTGTTTGGATGTTTGTTTACGACTCAGTGTGAGCCCGTGTGAATGAAAGTGAGAGTCAGACATTGTGTGTATGTCAGGAGTGTGAGGGTGTATTTGGAAGTTTAATTTCAACTGCTGTGTATGCATATGTATGTAAATTCTTATTTGAGTATTTTTCATCTGGATGTGTTTTTGTGGGTTTTATTTTTGCAGCAATCCCAAATATTCTCCAACATACATCTGTGTATGCATTCTAAGTTTATAAGCTTATTTTCATGTGTTTTTTTTTGTTGCTTTGCAGTATTGTGGCCCATTTCAAGCAGAGCGGATGGATGGAGCATCTCTGTGGCGTAGCTAATTAGCATGTTAGTGCTTAGTGCTGTATCTACTCCCTCAACGACACTCATCACTGATTCTCTCTGATGCTGTGGAGGGTGTGTGTGTCTGGGACTGTTTGTGTGAGTCTGCCAAATGGAAGCGTTTCTCTGTGTGAGTGTGTGAGTGCGTGCGCTTTATAAAATAATGTGTGTGAAATGTTAACGTGGTGCGTGGCAGAAAGGGAAAAGAGGAAGAGGACAAGTAAGACAGAAAGTAATAGACATGGAAGAGGATTTCTTGAAAGCTGCAGTGTTACACAGAAATCTGTGCTACATGAGTGTATGAACTAAGCCATTATTATCTGTTGCATCAGTGGAGATACAGTCATGTGTAGAAACTCTTTGTAGATCATTTAATCTAGATTCCGTCAAAACGAATAATTTGGATACATTTTCTACGAAAAGAAATCAACAAAATTAGTCATTACATATGTTTTATGCGTGCAGAACTTGTCAGTAATGCAGTTTATATAATTGTTAATGTTATTTTGAAAACATTTCCCATATTGAAATATATATAGCTATATAAAAAACATACAAAACAATGAAAATAATACTCCATTCACTCATTATTTACAGCCATATGTATAAACAAGAACTATTATGAGTACATCAAACATGATAAACAAGTCAAACATGTATCCCACCTCTTTGAGACAGCCCATGAAGTTATTGCTGACTGGAGAACCCGGCAGGTCAGCCGTGCTAGGGCTCCCTCCCACGTAGAAGAAGTCGTCAGAGCCCAGCATGGTGTAGTCCTCCTGGGTGTAGCCCGTGGTGGTCAGGATGCCGTCCACAGAGATGGTCACCTACACAACAAAGCACAGGGAAAGGACACGCTATATACTCACACCAAAGGCAGCGCTAAGCGCTAGCTAGGCGCTGACCAGCCAAATTAGCCCCCGTTATTCTGGTAATGTGTATGCATTGTGTTGGGGAGAAGGCCTGATTGGTTTGGGGAATTGGCTTGTCGTACTGTTTGTTGGGAGTTTATTTTGTTGTAGTTGGATCAGTGTTTAATATGTCATGTAAATCAGGAGTGCTGCTTCTTGTCTTTCCTGGTGTGGCTATAACCTACTGAATGACACTTTCTCACTCTGCTTTCTCTAATTAATCCATTCTTTAGCAAGATCTTCCACTCTAACTTGAATCAGACTATGTGGCCCGCCTGTCAACAGCAGTAAGTCTATTGTACAGAATGACAACTAGATCCTGTGTGATTAATAAAGATTCACTGATACAGAAAAGCTTCAGGGCCACCACTGCTGAATTTTGACTCTGCACTCCCAGACGTTCAAAGTCAGATCTTCCTGTCACTGCATTGTACTGACTACAAAACCAACACGACTTCTGCATTAAGCCTAGCTTTGTCTTCTGTGAATGCTAGTTCAACTCTTATATAAAAGTTATCCTCCTTGTGTCCCTGCCACACTCTCTTAGCTGCTTTATCTTAAAAATAGAAGGTGACAACAAAACTAACAACAACTTTCCTTAATGCTCCACCTCAGGTGGCTCCGATGCTGGTGTTCTTCTAATTTAAACAGCCCATTCGGCTGTATAATAGCCCGTATGGGGGCTTTTAACTTGCATTGGTTGCAGACCCTGTCACACGTAATTCACAGTTAGTGGTGTTTTATCACCTTGATATTCTACAGTACAATGCTGACTTTCTCTCGACAGTTAGTTCCCTCTCACTGGTGGTTTGCCAGGCAAACTTGCCCAGCCAGGCAGGTGTTAGTAAAATCTCTGCAGGCTTCGTCATGCTCTACAGTTAGTGTTAGTACTATTCAGTTGTTAGTAGTTGTTAGTTGCACTGCTAACAGCCACAGTCATGTTTTCTTGTGTCAGGCCAGGCTGTGTGGGGTTACTGAGGTTAGGGTTTATGATTTCAATGCTGTTAGTATTTGTGATGATGTTATGTTTCCGTGTTGTTCGAGTGATTTGTGATGATGGTGTTAGTTAGTTAGTGGTCTGGGGGGGATTGTTAGATCATTGAGTCTGAATGAGATGACACATGGACTACGACACATACACTGATGTACACACACGCACAGGTGCTATATGGGTTACGGCTCATTCCACACATACACATAAATACATAAACATGCAGACTGCTCCTCTCTCAGCATGCAATCATTGGTAAAGAGGTTTCAAAGATTCAAAGAAAAAACAAGACATGATGAAGCAGAGGCACCATGGAGAACATGCAGTGGCAAAGAGAGGAGGAGGAAAGGGTTTTTTAAAAAGGACAAAAAAGGAATAAAATAGGGGGGAAAGGAGGACCTCTCTATCCATTTAACGGACCAATCAGAGAGTGGAAGGGTTTCTTAGTCACGCCATGCAGTAGGGGAAGGCTCGCTAGTCGCGTGCAGGTGAGGGATGAGCCAATCAGTACAGCCTACATGTCACAGAGAGATGGGGTGAAAAAAAAACAGTAGAGAAAGGAGGGGGGGGATTTAAAAAAAAAGTGGTTGGCATAGGAGAGGTGGGACAGGGGCTTTTTAAGCGTAAAAGATTACCAACCGCATTTATCCTTGTATTGGTTTAGTTTTGATGTCTATGGCTCAAAAGGAAATAGACACGGGGCAAACCCAAACTAAGAAACAATTAGAATGATATCTACCGAACAATGGAGTTTGTTTACCATAGCGTGTCCAATGCCTGAGTGCTTTGTAGGAGAGGGGGAGAAAGGAAAGCAAAAAAACTGTGAACAGAACAACTTCGGGAACCAAAAAAAGGAAAGCTAGAAGGCCTCTGGTGAGGTTAGTAGGTTGGTTGGAGTGGTCTCGCTAGGAGAAGGGCACAGGTTAGGTTAGTAGAATGAATCATTCCATGGATGAAGGTTAGTTTCACTAGCAGGTTAGTAAAGTTAGTAGTCAAGTTAGTAGTACAAACAGGCAAACGGTAGAAGGCAGGGCACAGGTGGGTTACAAGCACCTGAGTGCTAGTGACCTAGCAGATGTTCTCTAGTTCAATCGCTCCCTTGTTCACCCACTCATACACACGCTTGTTCACATACACACTATTAAAAGAGCACTCACCTAGAGCTGAAAGCAGTGCTGGTCTGGTGGTTAACCCACTGTAAACTAAGACCAAACCTCAGGTACTTTCTTCCTACCACAGCGTCACTGCAGTTGGACAACAGACCACTGACCGTAGATTCTACATTGATTAGTTTCTTGCTGCGGACTAAAGTCTTTTCTGCTGCCCACTGCCCCCTGAAACATCTGCGAAGCACTGTGGTTCACCAAAGTCAATACACATATCAACTATTTAACAAAGTCAAACAGTTATTTACAGCTTTGAGTAAATCTGCAGTTCATTCTTATATAAAGAATGAATTGCAGATTCGATCCAATATCAGTGGTCCAATATCCAAACATGTTTTATGTTTTTAGGGAACAAGTGGAAAATCCTCAACTTTTAGTAGCTGAGACTAGATATGTTTGGCATTTTTAGTAACAAATTGACTTGAAGGGTTAATGAAAATGTCAAAAACTATGCTTGGAATTATTTTCTGGTTGCTTAGCATTAACTGAAATCCAAATATGCTTCAATAAATGTTTTCACTAAATCATCTGGTTTTTAAATGGGCTTTCTAAATAACAGATACATCTCCTCTCCTGTTTGCTTCGTTGCTCAGTCCTCGATCCCCTGTTGTCTGGTTACCTGTCTCAGGTTGCGGGTGACCTTGACGTCGTGCCAGGCGTTGTCGTTGAATTTGCCGTTGACGGGCTCCACCAGGGCCTCGAACGCCCCGGAGCCCAGGTTGATGACGAGCGACACGGCACCATTCTTCAGCGCCAGGTTGACGTAGTCGGCTGACTTGCCAGTGTGCAGCATGAGGCCGTTGCGCTGCAGCGTCTTGAAGGAGAGCGTGATTTCGTCGCTGCTCGACTGGATTGGGTTGGGGGACAGGTCGTAGCAGAAGTACTCCGAGCCCTTGAAGGTGGCCACATACTCCTCGCGAGCTGAGACAGAAAGAGACAGGAGGAAGGAGGAGGAAGAACAAAGAAGTTTAGTGTCATTTTTCTCTTGTTGAACAAAATCATAATGATTTGTACATATCCAAACTATGTTGCAGCTTCCCACACTGCCCTTCACAATATGCTCAAAGATGATAAAATAGTGGGTGTTCATCAGAGCCAGGCAAGTAAAACAAAGCTCTGCCGGGCCTGGTTAAATTTGATTCGGATGTGCAGCACAAAACATATTGTTTTGAGATGCTGCAAATGTTGTTACTGTCAAGCAAAGCCTCACTGATGCCAGCACTAGGAAAAAAACACTTCCTTCCATACCTCTAATCGTACCATGAAGCAGTGTGTAAACAAGCTTTGATCACTCATGTGGGTTGCAGATTAAAAAGTGTGGATGCAAGAGAGAGAGAGAGAGAGAAAGAGTCGTGAGTCTGTACCTTTCCAAACTGGTTATGAAACCTGCCATCCTCTCTTTTGAGAGAACAGCTGTGCTGGCAGTCTGAAATGATGTGGTCTTGTTTGACAACATGGCTCATTTCGTGATGTTCATCCATTGCCAGAATGTGTGTGTGACTTTGTCTGTGCGGTTAGAGTTAAGGTGAGAAAGGTTTTAAGTAAGGATGACGATGAAGATGGAGAACAGCAGCCTTGTAAGCATCACGGCAGCAAAAGCAGGCAGGATTGGCCAGTTAGAATTCAGAATAAGAGGCAGACAGCCAATAGCGACTTACCTTGCACACCCTCAGTGACCCCCAAGGACACGAGACCAAGGTTTTGCAATCCATCATCCTTAAGCTCCCACTCTCTTATCTACTCTACTCTTACAAAAGTGCATACTCAAGCCAGCACCGGAACAAATATGCACACATCTGTGTGCAAAAGACAATCATAGTATTGAGCTGGCAAGCAGGGGTGACATTAGCTGTCTGTTTCAACCCCCCCAAAGCTTCATCCTTCCTCATCATCAACTCTCCACACCACCATTCCTACAGCTCTCACACCTCCCCTCTAAGCTTCACGCCACCATTTCTCTCCATGCACATCTCATTGGCCTCCTTTTCCTTTGCCCTATGGAGCCTCTGGCACAACTACCAACTTGTAGATCATGATAATGAGGAGAACAGAGGGGAATTTAACACGCACTGGGTCAGACTGGAGCAAGACAGACAGTTGGGGAAGAACCGCTGGAGAGGATGGAGGGAGGAAGGGAGGGATGGTGGATGATTGCCACATAATGAATAGACTGAAGTGTAATAGCTTATTAAGGTAGTGAGAAGCAGGGAGAAGAGCGTTGAAATGGAATTGGCCCGTACTTCAGAGAATATAACACTGAGAGAATAATGAGAAGTGAGAATATATAACAATGCAAATTGTCTTTCTTTGCGTTGGTAGCATGAAAAAAAAACGAAGTGTGAATGCCAATATATGAGTGAGCAACAACAAGTTGTTTGCCAGCATGTGTGTGAGCTCCCTCAAGTGTGTTCCTTCCCTCCCAGCATGTTAATTAAGAGTGTGTGTGTGCGTTTGCGTACATGTGTTTGTGTACAGACGTGTAGTATATGCTTTTTATGTGTGCATGAAATGTGTGTGGGGGTGTGGGAGGGTGCTGGTCTCTGTAAATATTGGTGTATTGCTGTCAGAAAAGCTATTACCAACTCAGGGCCTCAGGCTACTCTTTACTGAGAGGAGAGAGAGCGAGGAGTAGGAGGGAGACGAACACACAAAAAAGGGACACGTACACAACACACACACACACACACACATACACACACAGAAAAAGAAAGACAGAACAGCCACAAATGCTAACACAATCACACTGACACACAAGCAGACATGAAGACAAATGTAGATGAGGTGGCGGAGGGAGGGAGAGGGAGACGGGGGTGCGAGTTGTTCACAATGAGAACACACGCAGCCGTTCAGCAGCGTTCTAGCTGTAATTTACAGAGGTGCCATTAGGTTTCAGTGTGCTGCTCCGCCATTCTGTTACTAATTTACAGACATGTCATTAGAGCAGACAGGAGCACATAAAGCATCTCTGCATCGATCTGGGAGCCCTGGCCCGCAACAACAACAGGCGTATATGCACACAAATCAGGCAGGAAAATGCATATTGGGTGACACAAACACAATGAAGGACACGTGTCCTGCATGCCTGTATTCAGTAGACACACTCACATCTATAGAATATACACACACAAACATGGAAGAACACACACACACACACACAGGCTCTCAAGTGGGCAGGTTGGAGTGGATCTGTTGTAGCTCAGATTAATGGAGTGAGTCAGTATTAGCTCAGAGTAAACAGTGAGACAGACACTGACATACACACCACATGTCACACTTCATCCTGTGGAGAGCTCTGTCGATCAAACCGAGCAAGCGAGAGGAGAAACAGATGAAGAGAAAACGGAGGGAAACACAAAAGCAAAAAAAAAAAAGAGTCTAAATCTCTATACGGTTATATTTGATATGAGTTTGAAATGTTTTATATATTAAATTATTTTTGCTGATGGAGATGACAGGTTGTACATGAAGTCTACTGGTAAATTATTATCAACGCTTAAGGGCTCTTCGGTATAAAAGATCTTAATAAAACTTAATTACATATTAAGTAAGTAATTAAAAGTTCAGTTAAATCTCTGCAAAGCTTTATTTGTTTTTTGTTTTTTAGTTTTAATTCCTTTTGTGCATACTTCTTGTTTATGTCCTGCATGGTGACTATTTTGAGGTCCTATTTGTTTTTATTCGCTAGAAAAAAGCCCTGACTGTTGTCCTGAAATGATAAGTTGATTCACTGAAAGGTAATTTGACGGGAAATTAATTGGCAGCCACAGTCCTGACTGCAAAGGTTTCCTTTGGTCTAAACTCTCAATAAAAATGTTTTTAATATATGTCAATGAAATAACCTGATTCAATGAGGGAAAAAAAAATAAAAGGGACAAACCTACAAAAACGCTTCAAATATTTCCCTTTGGTCTGGAGAATAAGCCGCTTTATTTTCAAATATTGATGAGTTTTGTCAATTTTTTTAAATATTTCAACGTGTTCAAAGGTGTTAGAGGAGTTAATTGTTGGCTGTTTTATATGAATATTTCTATAATTGTATCTTTTCTTTGGTTTTGTTTGCTGATTGTGTGGTTGGATGTAAAGTCTAAATATAGTACTGGAATGAATAGAACCGTATTCAATGATCTACTTCATCAGCAATTAGTTGATTATTAAAGTATTTTAACACTACATATTACATGATGTTAAGCTCTAAACCTCGTTTTGACAAATAAAAGTAGCAGAGTTTATAAAGACGTCCTTTTTTTGGTTGCGGTACATTAAAAGACTAAACAGTTAATCAACTAATTGAATAAAAATGATCAACAGTTCAAGTGATATTGATAATCTCGCTTGAAATACAGATCTTCATCATTTAATCACATCCATTCAATTAAGTGACAAAATGGATAGGAACAGAAAGCACAAAAAGGTGGGATGTTGTGTAAGGAATAACCAGGACAAAATAAAAGATAGTAGCATGGGAAAGAGGAGAGAAATTAATAATTACGGAGTCGACGGGGGAATAGGAGAGAATGAAAAGATGGAGGGTGATTGGCGTTAAGACTTTGAAGGCTAACATTTAACTACTTCTTCTAATGAATAAAGCAGTCTGTGGGGAAGCAGCAGGGAGAGAGAGTGAGAGAGCTGGAGAGAGTCAGACACGGAGAGAGAGAGAGAGAGAGAGAGAGAGAGAGAGAGAGAGAGAGAGAGACAGCGCAAATAACTGATCTGATGGCGGATGCTACTGGGACCAGCTGCAACTGTACCGCCTCTTCGACGATCAAACACACATCACATGGATTTCTCTGCGAGTTTGCCTTTATGTGGCGTGTGTGTACGGGTCTCATACGGCTTTGTCTCTTCCCAATGGTTTCCTCCAAAACATTTATCAGGCTAATTTCTCATTTCCATGGCAACCAAGTGTTACAGGGGTGGTTACTGCAAATATGTGCGTTTGTGCATGTGTGTCGCACAAAGGGGAGACAGGAAGAGAGATGGGGAAGGAGGGTGAGGGTGAGGGAGGAAGAGTGATTGAGTGAATAGTACATTATCATGGACAGCTGTACTGAATCAAAATGGCGGATGGAGGCAGGGAGCACATCAGGGGAGCCTACATTATACAGCACCTGATAGAGGGAGCAGGGTGGAAAAAGAAAAAGGGGGGAAAGATGCAAAGAAAGAAGGGAGAATAAAAGAGGGGAGATGGAGGGAGTCATTGAGATGGGTGACACAAAAACTGTAGAGGAGAAGAGGTGGAAGGATAGAAAGAGAGACAAGGAAAGAGGGGAGTGGTAGAGAGAAAAAAAAAGAGAAAATGCTGGGGTATCTAAATCCTAGTGTAGCAAGCCTCAATCATGGCAGCCCTGTCATTCTGGAGATAGCACACTGCAATTCCACTGCACCTCGTTTTTAGCCCACCATGCAGTTCTGCTATCAGCTCCTCTCAGACTGTCCACACACACACACACACACACACACACACACACACACACACACACACACACACACACACACACACACACACACACACACACACACACACACAGAGCATAAACTCAAACACCCTGCACGAAGGCATCCCTCTTTAATAACAGACAGGTGGATTAACTATGCACTCAAACAGTACACAGATAGATGACCAGTGTGAGAAATGTATGTAAATGTATGCTAACGAATGCACAGTCTCTATATTAGGTTAAAGTGTGAAAATCCATACAGACAAGTTTGCTAAAAGGCACTCAGACTGCCGTTTCCATCTCTATTCAGTGATATACAGCATTTGGCTTCGAAAGCGATTTCACTATCGCATCACTGCCAAGGGAGCAATAGTGTAGAGGAGGATATTACTGTCAGGACACAAGTGACAGATTGGTGGTTGGCAACGAATAGCTCTTATTCCTCTTTTTGTTGTTGTTGTTAAATTGAAGGCATTTATTCCA